CCCTGACGCTGCCCCACCTGCCCCTCCGGCACCTTTGCCGGCCCCCCGGTGGGTCCGCTCCTGGCTCGGCCTCCACGACCCCGTCTTGCTGGTGCTGGTCAGCCAGCTCCTGGGGCTGCGGGGCTCGGGCCTGCAGCAGCTTCTCTGTCCAGACCTGGGTGAGGACTCGGGACCTCACTGCCCCCAGGGGCCGCCCTCCTGTCACCCAGCCCTCGGCCAGCCCAGGACCAGCAAGCGGGCGGGGGCCTCGTCTGGGCGAGAGGCCCACCCGAAGGCCTGCAGGGCAGACCCGAGTCCGAGTTAACGGCACCGGCTTCCGCTCAGCCTGCTGGGGGCCCGCGGCACCGCAGGCCGCATCTGGCTGCCTCCTACCTGCTCACAGGTTCTTGTTCTGCGGGGGAGGTTCTGTCCGGCGGTAAAGGGGAGATGCCACCCCCCGCCACACGGGGGAGCAGCCGGGCCCGGCCCCAGCCCGCTCAGCCCGTGCTCCTCACTCGCTCCCCGCCCTGGCCCCTGTGCCGGCTCACGAGCTCCCCTGACCGTCCTCCACTCCCAGGGGCGGCCCGCCAGACGCCGCTGTGGTCTGGGGCGGCGTCTCTGCGTGTGCCCGAGCGCACACTCGTGTGTGTGCCCCGAGGCAGAGGCCAGCCCAGCGGGTCCTCCGCCCTCGCCGCACCCGGACGGGGGCCCTCTCCGGCCGCCAGGGCAGAGCCTGCAGCGGCAGCTGACGGTGGTCGGACTGGCCTTCTCTGGGGTGAGCCTGCGGTGCCTCTGGGACGGGCCCTGGGTCCCCAGAGCACTGGCGGGGGGAAGTGGGGGGTCAGGGTGCCATCCTGGGCCGGGACCCCCAGCCCCACCAAGGGACACGGGCACCTGAGCGGGGTGGGGGCTGAGGGGCACGGGGCCAAGTCGCCGTCTGCGTCAGAGCCGTCCTCACGGGGCCTCTCCGCTGCCCTCCCCGCCTCGTGGGGCCCGCCCAGCACCCGGTGCCCGCCCGGTGCACACGGCGCCTGCTGGGCCCAGGCTCGGCCACTCCCCCCTGGCCCTATCAAGTGACCCCTTGTGTCACCGTCCCCACCGTCTGTCCTCCTCGGAGCTGCCAGTGGCCTGAGCAGAGCCCCCTTCTTTGCCCCCCCCCCCCCACCGCCTGCCGGGCACAGGGAGGGAGGGGTGGCCTGGGGTTGAACCCCCGGTGTCAAGAGACAGCGTTTTGGCTGGGGCTTCCTCTGCCCTGTGGGTGGTCCCCTTGGGGGAAGGAGCTGAGCCCGGACACGGGTGCTGCTCTTCCGGGCACGGGCCCACCAGCAGCTGGGCAGTGTCAGGGCCCGGGACCTCTGTCCCTGGCCTGGCCTCGCTTAGCCCCACACCCCTGCCTGCAGGGTCGCATCTGGGGCCCCGTGGGGTCCGGCCCCGGGGGGCCCTGGCTCAGGGAGGGGCAGTGTGGGGCGACACCGTGGGGTCAGTGGTCAGAGCGCCAGGAAAGCAAAGGCTCCTTTCTCCTCCAGGACTGCGAGAAACAGACCCTCCGCTGAGGCAGGAAGTCCCACCCCTTTCAGTCCCCGCGGACCATCCTGGCAGCGCGTGCGAAACGGGGAAGAGCGGGTCCAAAGCAAACACGCGGCCGCGGCCGGGCTTCCCCCCCGGAGACACCAGAACGGGGTTTATGGGTTTGCAGCCCCCCCAGCTGACCTCCTGGAGCTCGTTAGCTGCGCCTGCCTGCCTGCCCGCCCCGGGCAGCCCCTGGGAGCCCCAGGTCCCAGCTCAGCACTGGGCCCGGCCTCCAGCAGGAGTGGGAGGGCCTGGTGACTGTGTCCTGCTGGCCACCCTCCTTCCTGGACGGGCAGGTGGCCTGGTGTGGGCTAGGGGCTGTCCGGGGCCTGTCGGTGACTGTCCTGACCTGCTGGACTCTGCCTCCGTCCAGACCCCAGTCCTGTCCCCAGGGTCCCTGCCCCCACCCCCGAGTTGGCCACTCCCCTCTGGAAAGCCCTCCTGTCCCTGAGTCTACCGCAGCTGGACAGTGTGGGCCTGGTGGCCAGGGCCTGCCTGGGACTCGGGACAGACTCTCCTGGAGGCCCCAGGCCCAGCAGGCCCCTCACTGGGGGCTGCCCTGCTCCCCGGGGGTGGGGGGGGGCAGCGTGTGGTCAGTGCACATGCAGCCACCGCCCCCACCCCCGTCCCTGGGGCCCCCCCGGCTGCTGCTGGTCCAGCATCTGCCCCTGACACGACCAAACACCGCCTTCCTGCCCAGTGGCGTGGCCTGTCCCTCCCTCTCCTCCCTGGTGCTCACGTGCCCGGCTGGCCCCTTTCCACCTGGAGTCCAAGCGCCGTGGGCACTCACGCCCCGGGCCAGTGGGGCCGAGCCCTGGGGCCACACTGCCCAGACCAGGCGAGCCCGCGCCACCAGGACGCCAGTCTTTGCAGGGCTTGGTGAGCAGGTGGCGCAGAGACAAGCCCAGGGATCCCTGGGGCCCGAAGGGGCCCCTGCAGTGTCTGCGGGGGTGACACTCAGCACAGCCTCCCCCACCCGCTCTGAGCAGCTGGACGCCGCCGCCTGGGACAGCCGTGCGTGCTGGACGCCCGGTCCCTTTGCACAGGCGAGCCCGGCCCAGGGCCCACGCCGCCCTGGGAGGGACGGCGGCTGTCGGGGTGTCTGGCCCAGTCAGTGGGTGCTTGTCCCTGAGCCCCTCCCCTGTCTGGGCCCCACACTGCTCCAGGCCCCTGCCCTGGGGGACAGGCCGCTGCCCTCTGCCCGGACGCGGCCCAGGCGTGCTCACAGATGCTCTGGGCCAGCTCCCGCCAGGCCTCCCGGGCAGCAGGACACAGGTGCAGGACTTCAGCCCGGCACGGGACCCCTGACCCGTCTCTAGGAACCACCCCATGTCCACACCCGGGGTGCACAAAGCGTCCTGAGCTCCCCTTGCAGGTGCCCCCTCGGGCGGGGAGAGGGTGCGCGGGCCACTCTCAGGTCGTGCGGGGCAGGGAATCCCTCCTCAGGTCCTGGTCTGTCAGCGGGGCCTTGGGCAGTGTCTGGACACTGGGGCCCCGCTCCGCCTGGGGGTGATTCCGTGAGGGGGTGCGGGGCCTGCCGACGGGGGCCCTCGCTCCCGGCCTCCTGGCACCTGAGCTCCAGGCCGGCGACCTGGTCCTCCAGCAGCCAGCTCCTCCGGGCCAGGCCCTGGCTGTGCGTCCTGCTCGCGTCCAGGGCCTGGTGCAGTGCATCCAGCTGCCCCTGGGTGGGGGACACGTGGGTGTCTGTGTGGGGCCCGCAGCAGGTGGCTGGGGTGCAAGGCGGTACGACCGGCCACGTGCCCTGTGCATGGATCGGCGGCCCGGGGTGCAGCCTCGGGGGTCCTGCTTCTGTGCTGTGGCCTGGAGGCCTCAAAGACACACCTGGTGCCCCTCCCCTGCCTCCAGCCTCGGAATAAAGGCCAGAGTCCCTCTGAGCCCTTGGAGCCTGTCGGCTTGGGTCCTGCTCAGCGACGCCCCACCCAGCCACCATGCACCCCCCGGCCTCAGGGCTGTGCCCCACTGCCCCGGCCCTGGACCCCTGCCCCAGCCCTGCTCAGCCCTGAGCCCCACGGATGGCTCTGGGCCCCACCCTGTCACCGCCCACACCAGTGGCCCCGCCCGGCCCCATCACCCCTCTGCTTGGAGCCTTCTTGGCCGCTGGGCCCCTGGCCGCCCTGCGGGGTCCCGGGGATCTCTCGAGAGTTCTACACAGGCTCCGTGGTGGGAAGCTTGGGGTCGGCCTGGGACCCAGCAGGGCTCTGAGAGGTCGGCACGTCTCCAGCTGGGATCTTCCAAAGGTCCCGAGGGAGAGGTGGCCAGTGCCTCTGGTTCTGTGGGCGGTGACGTCGGGCGGAGGTGGCTGGGACTCCAGGGGGCAGTGAAAGGGCGGGATGTGGGACTTAGAGCCTGGGGGGGCCGTGGGGGCGGGCACAACCCGGACTCTTCTTCACAGAAACCGCCGCCACCCCTGAACCAAAGGAGAGACGAAGGCGCCGCTGCCAGGGAACGGGGAGAAGGGAAAAGAACGCACGACAGAGAGCCACAGCCCCACGGCGGACCGCGATCGGGGGACACGCGGGGACACCTGCGGGGACATCGCTTCCTCGCGGCCGGGGGCCGGAACGGCAACGACCCAGGAGGGCGCTCCTGTGGGCGGAGGGAGCAAACGAGACGAATGGAGAGAAGAGAGGAAGGCGGACTCTCTGAGCGGACGGAGGGGCCTCGGGCACGCGGGGTCCGGAGAACCCAGACCCAAACAAGCCCCCGGCCGCATCCCGGCAGGCGCAGACGCAGCCGCAGAGGTAACCGCGGCGGCGGCAGCGGCGACGGCGAACGCACGTGCGTGCGCGGAAGGATTCGAGGAGGGCGGCGGCCCGGCGCGGCGGCGCACTGGGAGGGGACGAGCCGCAGAGGAGCAGCGAACCCGGGCGTCAGGGGGCGGGAGGGGGGGCGGGTTGGCAGTGGGTGCCCCCCGACCCTGCACTCCGAGGCTGCTGGGGCTATTCCAGGTGACAGGAAAAGGCGGAAGGCTCACGGATTCTTTCAACGAAGACAAGGTCATATCAGCAGAAAGAGCCGATGAGGCCCACGCCCCAGAGCGGCGCAGACGCGGGCGTTTTGGGCGGAACATCAGTCACCAGCCGCGCAGCCCCAGCCCGCGGACTGGTGCCCGCGGTGGGAGGCGGAGGGCTCCCTGCCTTTGCCTCCAGGGCCCGGCTGCGCTCAGTCCCGGCCTGGGGGGGCGTTGTCGGAGGGGCGGGGCTGGCACTGGGGCGGGTGCCAGGAGGTCGCGGTGTCCTGGCTCCGCGTCGGGGTCAGGGCGGGGGCGGGGGCCGGGGGCTGGGTCCTCACGCCCCGGGCTGCCTCGGCACTGTGGATCTAGCGAATCCCTGGAGACCCGAGGGCTTCGCTCTCAAACAAGAATCTTACTGTTTGCATAGCACAGCCCACCATTTAATTAGAAAAATATGTTTTTAATTAGCTTTCTCTTGACAAACACGTTGGCGTAGGCGCAGCGGGGAGAAGCCCAGTCCGAGGACCGGCCGCGCGCGGACCTCGCTCGGGCTCAGGGCGAGGGGAGGGCCCTGCAGCGTCGGCCACACACACGTCCGCCCGCCCGCCCGGGTGTGCGGTGCGTGCAAAGGGCCCGGGGCTGCCGGAGACGCGGGCGAGGCCCCGCCCGCCCCCCACGCCCGTGCAGTGGCCAGCAGGTCCCAAAACTCGGGCAACTCCCCTCGGAGCCGGACAGCAGAGCTTCTGCGAGGAGAGAGCGGTCAGAACGAAGAGGCCTAAAAATAAAAATAAAAAATGGTAATTGCCAGAACTGCAGAAAGATCTGACATAATACTGATAGATTCTAGTACACACACATCACTAAAAGGTTGACTAAATTCTCAGTCAAGCAGAAACATGAGCATGGGTGCAGGAGATCTGAACAGCACCCAGAGGCGCCCACAGCGCCCATGCGCGCAGACCCCGAGTGGGAACCCCCAGTGCCCGGGGACCCTGGCCTGAGGGCCAGGCTGGAGGGGCTGCCGGATGTGGAGGGGAGGCCCCTGAGGGACAAGGGTCAGGCGGCCCCCTCCCCCCCATTCCGGGACCGGAGCAGCTGGCCCCCACGGCGCCCACGGCCCCCGCTGGAACTTCTCTCTGCCTTTCGCCTGCAGCAGCCACACAGGGTCACACGGGGTCCCGGGGGGTCCCCCCTTCTTTGAAGACGTGCAGAGGAGAGACACACAGCGTCCGTGGCGATCGACTGTGGTCGGAGAGACCGAGCCCGTCTGAGGCGTCGGGGCTGAGGGTCGGGGACCGAGAGAGAGAGCGGGGCCAGTGTCGGGAGAGGCTGGCTGACGTCCTGCGGGGAGGGGCCGCGGGCGCGCCGTGGAGACGGAAGCACAAGGCCAGAGAGGAGGACGGGCCGAGAGCCGAGCTGGGCTACCGTGAACGCCGTGAACGCCGTGAACGCCAGGACAAAGGGGAGGGCGGGGAAGTGTGGCCAGGAGGGAGGTGTTCCCGGTGGGCGGCCGAGACCGGGCGCAGGTGCGCGTCGGCGCTGAGGCGACGTGCCGAATTTCGGAAGTAAACGGGTGCCCCCGCGCTGCAAGCACCCTGCCGCCTCCGCCCGTTACCGGAGTCGGCTGAGACCTCGGTCGGTGGGCAAACCAGCGGCCTGGACTCTGAGCTCCGCCGGGCCCCTCGCAGAGACAGGGCGAGCCCACCTCCCCCGAGACGCCTGTGCACACGAGGGTTCGGCTGGCGTGTTCCACCCGCCACCGGACCTGGGGGTCGGCGGTCACAGAGGGGCTGTGACCACGGGCCGTGAGGCCACCCCGTGAAGGGTGGTGTCACGTTACGTGGAAACGGGGCTTGCAGACGTGACGAAGGCTGACGACCAGCCCACGGGAGAGCAGCCGGGCGGGCCAACGGCACACGAGGCCTGGGCTGAGGGCTCCGACGGGGGGCCCGTGAGGAGGCCCAGCAGGGACTGGGAGAAACTTCTGGAAGCTGCTCCGTCCTTGGCGGATGGCTGGGAAATGGGACTTTGGTCCTAAGACCACAGGAAGCTGGACCCTGCCACTCCCTGAGTGAACTGCGAGGGATCTCTTCCAGCTCTAGGGGGGACGCGGCCCTGCCAGCCCCGAGGGTGAGACCCAGGAGAGAACAAGCCCCCCACCCAGGCCCCCCACCCTGCAGGGCTGGGGGCTCCCTCAGCCCCCGCGGCTGAGTGGGAGCGCACCAAGCTCGGGCTCGGGGCCGGCTCTGCGTGGACTGGCCGGCCCCGAGCAGAAAGAGGGGGCAGGCGGGTGTGCGGCCCGGGAGCCCCCAGGACACAGGTGCAGAGACCCGGCAGCTGGGGGGGCTGCGGCGCAGGAAGGGGTCCCAGCGGCCACCCGCAGTCCCCGAGCCCAGCGTGACTTGGCTGCCGCGCTCCCCTGCCCCCCAGACCAGGGAAAGGGGCGAGGGCAGGATGTGGGCACTGGAGGGAAGGGAAGGGCGAGCGACGGACATGGAGGACAACACATGGAGGGCGTGAGGGAGTGTTAACAGCAGAGGGACGAAACAAATCTCCACGACGGTTGTGAGAGGGACAAGCTCCCCCCGGAGAGGCAAACACCCGAGGTGGAGCGGAAACGCAGCCAGGCTGGCGGGAGGTGGAGGGCGGGTCTGAAAGGGTGGTGGTGGGCCGTGCCGCATCAGGTGACGTGGGGCACGGGCCCGACAGCAGGGACCGGGCACGGGGGCCCCTGGAGCTGGAAAAGCTCGAGCAGAGAGACCCTCTGGATTCCGAAGAGCAGGCCCTGGGAACCCACAGGCCGAGCACCCTCGGAAAGAGAAGACGGTTGTCACCGGGACCCGTGGCCGCGGGAGCGCTCCGCCCGGCGCACTGAGCGTGGGTCCGTCGGGAGACAGACCCCGTGCGCAGCGTCTGAGAGCGGAGTTTGCGAGGGCCGGGGGAACAGGCGCGGTTCAGCTTGGTTTTCAAACGTGCGTGGAGCGCACACGTGGAACACGGAACACGGCCCCGCCCCACCTCCCCCGTGGCTCGGTCCACGCCTCACCCGCCCTGCTGCCCCCCCCCCACCCCCCGGCCTGTCGCCCCAGAAGCTTCGGGCGCAAGGGTCTCCAGCAGAAATGGCCTTTGGCTTCACGGGTCCCTCGCAGGGCCCAGGGGCAGGGCTGGCCGGCAGCTCCAGCGTCCCCGGGGCCGAGGGCCCGGGTCCCCCCTACCCCCCCGTTCGGTGCTCTGCTCGGCTGCCGCCTCGGCCCCCGAGCCCCAGCGTGCGGCCTCGGCCCCGGGCCCCAGCGGCCTCCCGAAGGCCAGTGCCCCAGACCCCAGCACGCTGGCCTCCGTGCCGCCGGGGTCCATGGGAGCCAGAGCCTTCCGGGCCTGGGCTGGGCAGAGATGGGGGGGCCCTGACCCCTCGCCCGGAAAGTGCGGACCCCAAACCACCTTTCCAGCATAGAGCCCCCACTGGGGACGTCGGCCGAGTTCGTGCTGTGCCGCCTCCTTCCGTGTGTGAGGGACCGGGAGCAAAGCGACCCCTCGGCAGCGGAGACAGGGCCCCACCGACGGAGACCGGGGGTCCGCACGTCACTGGCTCGGCCACCAGCCCAGGCCGCTCTGCCCAGAACCCCGTTTCCCCAGTCTGTACAATTAGGACTGGGGCCATTTCAAAGACAGGGAGGGACCCGGTGCCTCCTGAGGCCACCCGCCCACAGGGACCTGAGACTGCCCCCTCCACTCCCAGCCCTGGGGTGCGTGCGGGGCCCCCACCTGGAGCCGCCTCCTCTCCTGGCCCTCGGATGGCTCACTCACCGGGTGCCCTGCCTCCAGCTTCTTCAGCGCCTCCTCCGGCAGGGCCCCCGTGGCCCGGGTGCCGCCCGTCTTCCCCTCTGCCTGGCGCCAGCCTGTGGGGTGAGCAGGGTGGCCGCCTGGCTCCCAGGTCGAGGCGGGGGACGGGGGGGGTCATCCCCTCCCACCCCACCTGCCAGGAAACTGAGCGCCTGGCACCAGGAGGGTGGGGGCCGGCTCCTCCCGCCCTCTGCGCTCCAGGCCCCCCCCCGCCCCCATCCTTCCCTCTGGCCCCCTTCCCTTCCAGAGAGTCAGGCCCTGGGCCCAGCCCCCGTGTGACCTGCTGATGGGGACGGGGGGGGAGGGGGGGACAGAAATGCAGTGGGGTGGCCAGCGGGGCAGGGGGCCTCACTGACGTGACTCGGGGCAGAGACCCAGGGGGGATGGGCCTCGTGACTGGGTGGGAAGGAGGCCCCAAGAGTGGGCGCAGCCAGCGCCAAGGCCCTGGGTGGGGAGGGCCTCTCTCGGTCTCTGGGGCCGTGTGTCCCCCCAACTCGGTGGGGCGCTGGTCTCCCCGAGAAGGTGGGGAAGGGTGCTCACCTTCCTCTGCCCGGGCCAGCGCCCTGTGCAGCCGCTCCACCTGGCTCTGGGCTCGGGCCCGCTCCCTCTGCTCCTCCCGCAGCCGGCGGCCCAGGCTGGCCACCTGGGAGCACCAGGTGTCCTGGAGAAGGACAAGGTCAGCGGGCCACCAGGGTGCGTGCGGGGCCGAGGGGTCACGTGAGAGGTTCCGGAGGCCTGGTGGGCAGCCCTCGGAAACTCGGGGGAGGCCCTGGAAGGGTGGGGCGGGGCCCATGTGTCCAGGTTTGGGGTGTGGACATGCAGTGGGGGACAGGGCGTGCAGTGGCAGGTGGTGGCCCCAGCCTGTGGGGTCAAGGTGACTTTCAGAGGCCAATCCCTGGCCTGACTTGGGACAGAGTAGGTTTGGGCCCTGCTCCCTGGGGCTGGCATCTGGGGGGGAGGACCGCAGGTGGGCCAAGTCCGGGCACCACCTGGCCGCGGGCGGGTGGCTCCGGGGAAGCCCCGAGGCGGTGGGATGGGGAGAACTTGTGAGCGGCTGCTGGTCCCACGTGAGGGGTCACTGGGGTCGCTCTGCAGGTGGCCCGGCCAGCCCTTCTGGGAGCTGCAGGCAGGGGCGGTGGAGGCCCAGCCCTGGGCCCAGGGCGTCCCTGGGAGGCCGGCTCCAGGGTGCTGGGCGGGAAGGAGGCCGCTGGGGCCGTCGGGCTTTGAGGGGCTCGGGTGTTCTTCACACGAAGGGTGGTCGGGGCACCTCTGGGGTCTCCGCAGATGCAGGACGGGCGGACTGGCGGACAGGCTGACAGGCAGGCAGGGCAGGGCCTCCCGCCCCACTTACCCGCTCCCGCTGGGCGTCGCGCCGCCGCCGCACCAGCTCCCTCAGGGCCTGCCGCACGGCGGCCACGTCCACCTCCGGGCTCTGCCGCCCCGGGGCCGGCGGGGGCCATCGGGCTGGTGAGCAGGGCCGGGCGGGGGGGCTGGAGCCTGTAGGACAGCGGGGGCTGAGGGGACGTGGGGCGACACAGGCGGGTGTCCCGTCCCCACCACAGGGCCCTGGGGGCCCCATGTCCAGGCCCTCGCTGTGCAGCCCACGAGGCCCAGGGAGGGGGAGGGGGAGGGTGGCCCGGGTGGGGGCGGGGCCAGGACAGGAGCCCCCGAAGCTGCCGAGGACGCTGACCTTCGCGGGGGGAGCCAGGCCGCTCGGGGCTCTGTGCTCGGAGGCCCAGCTCGCGGCGGAGCGTGGCCCACAGCCGGTCCAGCCGGGCCTGGGCGTCCTGCCTGGCGCGCCCGGCCTCGGCCAGCTCCCGCTCCAGGCTGTGGGCCCGGCGGCCGGCCCCGTCCAGGCGAGCCCGGAGGCCGTCGGCCTCGCTGCTGGCCTGCTGCGCCCGGGCCTCCGCCTCTGCCAGCTTCCGCTGCAGCCGCAGCACCTGCGGCCGGGCAGTGGGGGCTTAGGGGGAGGCTGCACACGGGGGGCCCGAAGCCTCGCCCCAGGCCTCTCGCCTCAGCCCCCCCTTGGCACAGGGGGGCCTGGGGCCCACTCCCAGCCCACGTTTGGCAGTGGGGACGCCTGAGCCCCGGCGGGGAAGGGCTCCCCAGGACCACGGAGCGCACCCTGGCGGGCAGCACGGCCACACAGGCGGCCTCACGGGAACGGGCCAGACAGGGCCACAGCCCACGCTTGTCTGCCTGCTCGGGGCCTGGGGTGGCACGGGCTGGGTCAGCATCGCCCTGAGACCAGGGCTGGGGACGCTCAGGGTGCCTGCCACCCCCTCCACAGGCTTCCCGGTGGGCGACAGCATGGGCACACGGAATGTGGACCCCCCCGCACCAGGTGCATGAGGGGCCACCCTGACCCCACCAGTCCCTTCACTTCCAAACGGGCTGCCCACCCACCGCTGCAGGCCACGGGCAGGGCCGGTGTCCCCCACCCTCCACTCACACGAGGTGAGTGGCCAGGGCAGTGACTGGGGGCCCCCACCCCCGGAGAAGTGCGCGGGCTGGGGGAGGGGGCAGCCAGGCCCCAGCTGCGGGCCCAGAGCGCCCCGGCCTGTCGGCCCCCGGGCAGGAGTCCTGGCGCCGCTGGGCAGGGCAGTGGGCCTCGTCCTCGCCCTCCCTGGGTGGCCACGGCACAAGGACCCCATTCACGGCTGGAGGTGGGGGGCTGTGAGGTCACGAGGGGGTCACATGGGCCAGGGGAGGTGAACCCATGTTTCTGGGTGTGGCGTTGGGTCTGAACTGGGGCGTCCTGCGCAGGCTGAGGCCTGGGGAGGCCGCTCAGGCTGTGGGCAGGGGAGCGGGGGTGCGTCCAAGGCCACCGGCCTCGTGCAGCCCAGCCTGGCAGCAAGCAGAACCTGGGGGGCGGGGCTGGGACTGAACAGAGGGTCTTTCAAGCCGCCTGGGGCTGTGTGTGGGGGCTTGGGGGGGCTCACGGGCTGGGGGCGTGCAGACACGTGTGGGGGCGTGGGGGTAGCAGCGAGCTCAGAGTCCTAGAGCTCATGGATCGGTCTCTCCGGGGCCCCTGCCTGTCCCTGGACTCAGTGCTCTCTTCCCCTGGGGGAGACTCTGCCCTTCGCTGAAGCCCTGGCCCCTGTGGGGGGCACACGGGGGTGGTGAGAGCGAGGCCTGGGCCCCCGGGCCCTCTACCTCCTCCTGGGCGTCCTCCCGGGCAGCCTCCACCTCGGCTGCCTGCCTCTGCCGCTCCAGGGCCTCCTGCCGGCTCCGCTGCCACCGCCGAGCGTCCTGTGCACACCGGTCCTGCAGCTGGCGCACCTCCCGGCCCTTCTGCCGGTTCTCGGCCTCCAGCGCCCTCACCTGCAGGGGGTGGGGCCACAGGTGGGGGCCGGGCGGCCCCTGCACCCCTGCCTCTGCTCCCGTGTGCTGGGAGGAAGCCCCCCGGTGGCCCGCCCCCCACACTCGGGCTCAGCCCAGGTCTGCACTTGGGTCCCGGCTGTGCCCTTGACTCTGGCCCTCGGCCAGGCTCCGCGGACACCTGGCATGTCCTCTCCGGGTCGGGGCCCCGTGGAGCCCGAAACCAACGGAGAGCCTCAGCTGACCACCGGTTGTGTTGGGGGGGCACCTCTGGGTGAGCTAGGCCCGCTGTGGGCCGTCCCCGTGGGGGACCGTGGGCGGGGCAGGGCCCAGCTGTGCTGCGTCCTCGGCCGGGACTCCTGACCCTCGGGGTTCGTGGGCCTCAGAAGGGTCTTTGGGCCTGAAGTTTGGGGCTTGTCCTCTGCACCCTCCGGGGCAGACCCACCCAGGAACCCGTGAGTCTGAGCCACCCGGGGTGCCTGGCGGGGCCGGGGGAGCTGGGCCCCGGGGCGTCGCTCACCTGCCTGCAGAGCTCCTGGAGCTCCCGGCGGGCGTCGGCCCCGGCCTGCTCCGCCGCCCGCAGGCGGGCCTGCAGCTCGCTGGCCTCCTTCTGGGCCGCCGCGCGGGCCGCCTCCAAGGCCAGCACCTCTTGCTCCTTGTCCTCCTTGGACCGCTGAAACCTGAGCAGGGTGTCACCGGCTGGGGTGGGGGACCACCTGGGGGCTCTGGCGTCTCCCACGGTTACAGGCCAGGCTTCCTCCCCATTCTAGCAAGAGGCGCCCTGCGGTGTCCCAAAGCCCAGCCTCCTTGGGGCTGCCTGTCCCCTCTGGGACCCAGTGGGTCCCAGTGCCCAGCAGCCCTGGCTCCCCTCTCTCTCCAGCCCCTCCCCCACCATTCCCCTCACTCCAGCCCTCAGGGGCGTCCCCTGCTCCCCCCCGCTGGGGCCTCTGTTTCCTGCTGGACGGGAGCTCCCTGAGGGCCGGGCCGGGCCGGGCCTTCCTGTGTCCCGGCCCCCCCTCCCGAGGCCAGCAGTGCCGCCTCCCTGGATGGGTGGGCAGCTGGCACCCTGGGTCTGCTGGGCGTGTCCTCCCGCGGCCTGGGGGTGGGGTGGAGCTGCGTGGCAGGAGCGCGCAGGCCCTGCTGGGAGGGGGTTGCCCTACCTGGCCTTCTCCCGCTCCGCCCGGCGCACCGCAGCCCGCAGCTCGGCGCCGGACCGCTGCAGGGCGCCCTTCTCCAGGGCCTCGGCGCTCAGCGCCCGGCGGGCCTCCTCGGCCGTCCGGCGCAGCCCCTCGCGGCTGTCCTCGCTGCCCCGCAGCTCCCTGTGCAGCGTGGCCAGCTCCTCCCGGGCCTCCCCGAGCTGCGCCCGCAGCCGCTCGGCCTGTGAGAGGGATGGGCAGCTGCAGGCACCAGTGCCGGCCCCGGGGCGGGGCGGGGTGGGGGGAGGGGGGTCGGGAACTGCGGGTCGGGCAGGCTCAGGCCCCTGCGGCCTCGGGCTCTGGTCTGCGGACAACCCGGCTCTGCCAGCCTGTGGTCACCTCCCTGTGCCACTGAGGCTGCCGAGTGGTGCACCAGGGCCAGGGCCGGGCCCAGGCAGGGGACACCAGACTTCTCCCGGCCCCGTCCTGCCCTGTGCTCCCTGCCTGGGCCCCGGCGCTGCCGGCCACTGGTCAGCAGGGCCTGTGTGAGACTCGGCCTCACCCACAGGCCTAAACTGTCCCCACCCAGGGCCCGCCACCACTGCCCGATGGTCCCCCACCCTCCGGGCCCTGGAGTGTGCTCCCCCCCGCCCCCCCCCCCCGTCAGTGATGGCACAGCACTTGGGGCCCTGTCTGCCCCGTGCATGGTGGCGGGCCCTGGCCCCCCGCTGGGATGGGAGCTGGCAGGAAGGCCGGGTCTCTGGTGTCCTTGGAGGCCTCTGTTGCCACCAGGGCCCACCTGGGCCGGGCCGTCCAGGAGCTCGGGCTGGGGTTCCGCTGTCACATGTGCTCGGCACGGAGCGCAGGAGTGTGGTGGGCCTCTCGAACCGGCCCAGCCCACACCCCTGGGAGCTGACCCAGGGGGGACCAGAGGCTGCAGGTGTGAGCCCTCCTCCCCCCAGACCGGCTCTGGGCCCAGCGCAGGACACAGCCCCTGAAACCAGGGCCCTGGACACTGGGGCTCCCCGGCAGAGACTGCTGACACCGACGTGTGGGTGGGGTCGGGGGTCCCACTCACTCTGGGCTCAGCCCCCACGGGGAGGGAGGCTCAGGGGAGAGCATGGGCAGAGAGCGGCCGGGCCTCCAGTGCCCGGGCTGGGGGTGGGCGCCCGCCAGGGCCCCTGGCCTCCCGCCTCCCAGACCGGCCGTGGCCCTAACAAGGACACTCTGGAGGAGGCTGTGCCCCAACTCTCCTGGCCCCGAGGAGGAGGCTGAGGAGGCTGGCGGGGGCACACGGCATGGGGAAGCCACAGGCCCTCGGGGCCCTGTCCAGGCGCCGGTCGGCCAGGAGCGAGCCCCACTCTGCCGGCGGCTGCCGCGGGACGTTGTCCAGGCCCCGGCCGGCCTGGCTCCCGGGCAGCCGCTGTTGTTGTTGTTCTGTTTTTGGGAAGGGCCAGAGCAGCCCCCTCCGCCCCCCGCCCGCCCCCCGCATGTGGGAGCCACAAGCCGTGCGGAGCATTTTCCGCTGAGCTCAGCAGAAACCCACCCAGAAGGTCAAGGCCAGGGAAGGGCCGGTCCGCACAAAAGGAGCTGTTTTCAGTTCCCAGGAGCGGGGGGGGATGAAAACAAGCACAACAAACGCGGCCCCTCCCCCTCACCCCCACCCGCCGCCCTCGGCCGAGAACAACCATCCCTTTTACAGGAATTTTACAGCCAAATCGCTTAATGTGATTATAATAATTATTTCTTTACTAGAAATTGTATAAACAGCCTCTTTTGAAATCTGCTGCAGGGGGGTGGCTGAGAGCTCTGTGCAGAGGAGGGGAGGGGTGTTGAGGGGTCCTGGCCTGCGTGTGGCATGTTCATGTGCACGCACACAAGAGCACATATGTGTGCTTGGTGTGCATGTGTGTTTGTGCAGCACGGGGCACATGTGGCCATGCATCTGCACGCGTGTATGTGTGAACATATGCAATGCTGCACACATGTGCCAGCATGTGTGGAGGTACACGTGCTGCCTGATGTACACACGTGTGAACTTCATGGGGTCCGCATGCATTTGCATGTGTGTTCTGACCACACAGGAGTGCATGCATGTGGCCACTTCTGTGCAATGTGTGTGCATGGGGGCATGTAGGTCTCCATGTCAGCAGGAATGCGTGTGCATGGGTGTGTGTGTGGGGGGGGTGAGCCGTGCTGTGGGTGCGTGGCGTGCACTCACGCACACACATGTGGACGCAGCCAGAGGCCTGGATGTGCCTCCAGCTCCGGGCTGTGAGAATGTTGCGGTTCCCATGGCGACTCTGGGCAGCCTGGCGCCAGCGAGGGCGCTTCTGCGCTCCTCTTGCCCCCTCGCCCCCGGCTCTCTGCCCCCCACTCCCCTTCTGGGGGCCCCGCTCCGAGAACCTGAACTTGTGAGCCTCCCAGCTCCCCCCCCGCCGGCGGCCCCAAGTTTTAAAGTCTCGTTCTGCTTCCCCGTGTGGTCGCTGACCGGCCTGACTTTGAAATCTGTTGAAAGGAGACCTTTCTCTTTGGGGGCCAAAGTAAACAGGCTGTCATGTTAAATCACGCTCTCTTCCTCCGGCCGCCCCGCCTGCCCCCCGGTGCCGGGGGGGGCGCGCCCCCCTCCTCCCTCCTCCGCGGCCGCCGGGCGTGTGCTGAGTGAGCGGGTCAGTGCCGCCTGCCAGCCTTGGCCCGCTGCCCGGGTGCGAGGGCTGCCGGTCCCTGCAGGCCCCACCTGGGCGCCGCTCACCCCCCCAGCCCAGATTCCATGCCCCCCCGTCCTCCCCGCTCCCTCCCGCCACCAGCCGCCCCCAGTCCCTTCGGACCTGCCTCGGGGACACCTCCCCGCGCTGCCCGCCTGCCGAGCTCCATCTGGCCTAGCTGGGGCCGCTCCTGTCACCCTGCCCAAGGCTGTCCCCACCCAGGGCACCACCCTGGGGCTCCGGGGGCCCGTGTCAGGCCCATGCAGGGCTGCCCCGCACTTCCCCTGCCCCGTGGCCCCAGGCCCCCAGGTGACACCTGCCTCTCCCCCGCTCCGGGCACCCTCACCTCTCTGCCCGCCATGCTCCGCTCTGCTGCCATCTCCCGGAGGCTCCCGAGCAGGGCTGCGGTCTCCCCCTGATGGGCCGAGGTGGCCTCCTCGAACTGCGCCTGCAGGGCCCTCAGCTCCGCGGCCGTGGAGCTCACCGTGGCCTGGGGGGGGGCAGCAAGCCGCCGAGGCATCAAGGGGCTGCCCACAGCGTGGCTCCAGGCCGGTGGGTGCCAGGCCAGGGCCTGGGTCTCATCCTGGCCACCGCCCGGGCCACCGATGCCAGGGCTGGAGGGGGCAGTGGTGCGGGGAGGGGGCGGAGGCCCCAGCGGGGAGCCCTGTGGGGAGGGACTGACCCCGAGCCTCCCCTCTGGGGTCCCGGGCAGCCAGGCCAGGGCAGGGACCTCCAGCACGGACTCCTCTCCTGCCTGAACCCTTGTCACTGGGCCCGCTGGGCCGAGTGGCTCGGGGCAGGAGTGGTTGTCTGGCAAACGGGCGGAGGTCCTGCCCTCCAGAAATGCTGGACTTGGGCTCTTGCAGCCGGGCAGGGGCTGGTGTTTGCACCCAGGAGCGTGGGGCTGGATCTTTTCCCTCTTGGGCTTGTGGAGCTCAAGAGGAGCCCCCCATCCTGCGGCCCCCTGCCTCTGCCTGCCAACGCTCTCCTTCACCCCCCCCCCCCGCAGTCACTCACTCAGCGCCAGGGGGCAGCTGGCTGTGCCCTTGGGGGCGGGGACATGCCAGGGGCCAGGTGAACAGGGGCCTCGGGGTTAATAAGGAGAGAGCAGCCCTGCAGGGGGTCTGCAGGGACCAGGGCAGCAGCCGAGGAGAGAGGCTGGCCCTCGAGGCTGCGTGGGTGCGGCTGCAGGGGTGGCCGTGGCCCCCAGCAGAGCAGTGGACCCCCCAGCACCGCGAGGCCGCACGGCCCACTTCTGAAAGGGGCTGAGGCCAGCGGCCAGCAATGGGGCGGGGACATGGGGCCCCATGGTCCTAGTTACCACTCCCTGCCCTGCCCACCCCAGACACAGGCTCCTGAAGAGGGTCGGGGCCCGGCGACCCACGATGGCGGCCTGCAGCGGCCTCTGTCCCCTGGTCCAGGGCAGGCGGCTGCCTCTCAGGGGCTCCCCCCAGGCCCCACGGGGGTCTCCGCGGGGGGCTGTCCCGGCGGGGAGGGCCTGCCTCAGGCGGATGCTGCCTCCCTGGGCTCAGTCTCTCTCTTGAGGGGGCCCTGTGGGTGAGCGAGGCCCCGGCCATCACACTCAGACAGGCTGAGGGCGGGGGGCCGGGGCCCTCCCCGTCCTGGTGGGGTCCCCAGTGCTGTGGGGGCAGGGGCTGGCCTTTCCTTCCTGCCGAGAAGGACAGTGTCTCCCCCCCCACAAGCAGGAGGCCTGGAGACACCCCGGAGAAGCTGAGGCCGGGGGCCGGGGTGGAGGAGATGCACCCCGGGACCTTAGGGTCTGGCCGGGCCAGTGCCCAGTATTGGCTGACGGGGCCAGCGGGCACCTCCGCCTGCTCCTGCCGGCCGCCAGCCTCCTGCCACCCCCGCCCCCGCCCCCGCCCCCGTGCCGCCCTGCGGAGCCGCTCCCTTCTGAGACGGGGCCTGGTGGGACACGCGTGTTCCCCGTCCCCCCCTCTGGAGGGGCGGCACCCCAGCCACAGCCACTGCCCGAGGGGCTTGGGGGACCCCATCCAGCACGGCCCAGCCTTTGAGCCTGCAGCCAGGCAGCTCCCGGCGCTGGGGGGGGGCCCTGCCCCACCCCCATCACGCACCTGTCGGCTATCCCCCCCCGCCCCAGCACCCCAGGGGCTTCATGGGCCTCCTCCCGGGAGCCTCCCGCCCCCTTCAGCTCTGCTCCCCACGGAGCACAGGTGGGCGCACTAAGGGATCTGAACCTCTGAAAACGCTGTGTCACTGAGGGCGAGGGGTGCCGGTGAGAGCCCCCCGCCCCCCCCCCCCCCCCCGCCACCAGAGGGCTGCAGAAGGTGGGAGGAAGTGGGCGGTGACTGTCAAGGCCACAGGTGCTGCTCCCGGGCACCCCTGGCCCCGGGGAAGCAGCCTCAGGGTCACCGGCGACGGCTCCCAATGCCGTTCGTCCCGGCAGCACCCTGGGAACCACCCGGATGCCCCCCGACGGGAGGCCAGCAGAGCCACCCCGATCCAGCACCCGGGGACTCGGCGCGGCTGTGGCAGGGCGGGCCCACCCTGAGCTCACAGGGGCGGAGGGGCCCAGCGCAGGTCGGCCCTCATGCTTCGTGATAAAGAGTTGGTCTGTGGCTCTGTCCTGGGAGGAGGCTCTGCACCCTGGGGCCTGCCCGGGTGAGCGGTGTCCTCGTCGCCCCGGGGCCCCGGGTCCTGAGGCGGCTCCGGGCGACACAGTCCACAGTCCGTGGAGCAGTGGCCGCGGCCCGCCCACTGTGCGCTGGCCCAGTGGGGCCGCGTGGGCCCGGAGCTGCCCTGGCCTCGGGGAGGGCGTGGGGCCTGCGTGCCGTCAGTCACAGCCATGCGGGGACCCCAGTAAAAACCCGGCGCGCACCGATGGCCCAGGGGTGCGGGGCCCCGATTCCGGGGCAGAGACCGCGTGCGCCCCATGAGTCTCTCCGCTGGGCTGGTCCCGACGGTGTCCTTGACGGGGACGCCGACGTCGTGAGTGCAGCGCCTTCTGGGCCCTGTGAGCCACTCTGGGGGGCTGGCGCACCGAGGGGCTCCGCACAGACCTTTGCGCCGCCCTGGCCTCCCCCAAATGCCGTCCCCCGGCCCAGCGACTTCCTGTCCGCGCCCCCCCCACCCCCCAATGCCACAGGCCCTCTTCTTCCTCCTGCTCAGGAAGCGGAGTGGGGTGACTGAGGGTGCCGACCCCAGTGCCCGTGGGTGCTGTGCCGCCCACGGCAAGGCCGGCACCATGCGTGAACCTGCCTTTTCTCTCCCGTGGAGGGGCCGACACGAGGGGCTCACAGCTCCGGGGGCTGGGAGCACCGGACGAGAAACAGGGGGTCTGGCCACGCGCCGCGGGCCCTCCTGCTGCTGTCCCCCCTCCCCGTGCCGCGTGACCCGTGCCGACCTCCGAGTGCCGTCACAGGGCACTACGGCACACGCGGGTGGGTCTGCTCGTGAGTGCCCCCCGGGGTCACCGTGAACTGCAGGGGCCTGGGCCCAGAGGACGACCAAGTCCCAGTGTCCGCGTCCCAGCAGGCAGGGATGGACGGGTGGGCAGGCGGGGGCTGACGGTTAGACTGGACGAGTCGTGCGTGTGAACGGGCAGCTGAGGGCGGGGGCAGAGGGGAGGCTGTTTACACGGAGGAACGGATGCGAGCACATGAGTGGTGCGGTCCGTGGGCAGGGAGATGAGCGGGCGCATAGTCGTGCGGAGGGGTGGGCGGGTGGGTGGTTAGGTGGATGGATGGTGGATGGATGGATAGGTGGGTGAAAGGGTGGGTGGATGTGTAGGTGGACTGATGGTGGGTGAGTGGGTAGGTGCGTGGACGGTGGGGGGTGGGTGCACGTCTCCCTCCAGGACTGCTGTGGAAGACCAGCCGCACTCCGGCCGTGGTGACCTGGGAAGGCTGCCCCCAGCCCTCTTTCCGGGGCAGGAAGGCAGGGGCGGTGGGCGGGAGGCCGCCCCGCTGCCCCGCCATCCCCCGTCACCTGCTGCACCTCCTGCTGCAGCTGCAGGAGGGCCTCGTCCCACTCCTGCTCCAGGCCCCGAAGCTGCTCCCCCAGAGCCTCCTTCTCGGCCGCTGTCCTTGCCCCCAGCTGCTGCTCCTGCTCCAGCCTGCGAGCCGCTCCCTCCCTCTCCTCTGTCAGAGACAGACGCAGGGCTTCCTGGGCCAAGGCGAGGGACAGGCCGTGAGGACCACCCGGGACAGGGCCGCGAGACCAGCGGGGGCCTGTGGTCCTGCCCGAGACCGGGCTCAGGGGGCGCCGGGGCAGGACGGTCCCCAGGGACTGTCCCGTGCGGCCAGCGCGTGCCCTGGTCTCTCACGGGGTCGCTGAGGCAAGGGCTGCGGGCCGGCTGCCGGGCCCCCGCCTCCGCTGCCCTGTCGGACCCAGGCTGGCTGACAGGGCGCTCGCAGGCCTCCCTGAGCTTCCCGGCGGGCCCAGCGCCACTGTCATGCCCGAGATGCGAGGACGTGTCCGGCGAGGCCTGTGGCCGGGGACGGCTCGGACGGTGACGAGGCTCCCTCAGCGATGCCCTCCAAGGGCGGCCAGGCCAGCCAGTGCCCAGGCTGCCCCTCCTGCGGGGGAGGGGGCTGGCCACCCTGGCACAGCCCCACGACCCTACTGGCCCCCTGGACCCTCCAGGCCCCGCCTCAGTGTGGCCCAGCACCTCCCCCCGCTGGCTGGTCTCCCGGGACCCCTCGCCCGAGGGTCTGCGGTCTCCGGGACGGGGAAGGCTCCCCCTGCACTCGGGGGCGGCAGCAGCTGGCGGCCCAGGGAAACAGACCTTCTCCCTCCGGAGCCGCGCGAGGTCCTCGCGGTGGCCCAGCGCCTGGCTCCGCAGGGCCAGCTGCGCTCCTCGCTCCTGCCGCGCCACCTGGCTCCGCAGCCGCCCCACCTGCCGTGCCAGCTCCGTCTCCCGGGCCTCCCAGGTGCCTCTCAGCTGCTCCAGCTCCTCTGCAAAGCGACAGGCGCGTCCGGGATTGGCTGGAGGGCCCCGCACCCCGGAACCTTCCCTCCCTGGCCTCTCTGGGTGGACCCCGTGCGGCCTGACAGCCACCTGCTCTGAGGACACTGTGCAAGCTGCAGGGACAGAGCCCCACTGCAGGGCGTGTGTCCTGGCTGGGGCCGGGCCCAGGGGCTGGGGAGGCCGGCAGCGGGGCGGGCTGAGCAGGGGTGGGTGCTCGGGGATGGGGCAGGGTCGTCGCGCTGACCCAAGGCTAAGCCTCGGGCTGGGGTGGGAAGCAGGCTGGGCAGGGCTGCTCCTTGGGGACAGCACTGGCAGGACCCATTCTGCCCCAGAGGCTTCAGGCCCCAGGTCCCAGAGCTCCCCCGGGGGACGGGTAGTGCAACCGAGCTCCGCAGGAGGGGCCCTGGGGGGGACGCGCAGGGAGAGGCCGACGCTGCGGGCGCACCTTGCAGGGCCTGCCGGGCGAGCCGGGCGCTCTGGGCCTCTCCCTCCAGCTGCTCCCGCTGCGCCTGCAGCTGCTCTGCCCGCCGCTGGGCCTCCAGGAGGCTGCGCTCCAGCGCGTCCCGCCGGGCCCTGCGGAGAACGGTCAGGTGGTGGGCGGGGCCGGGCGGGCAGACAGAGGGCATCTTCCCGCGAAATCTGCGAAGACCACCCGGACCCCACGCAAAAACGTGTCAGGTGGATCACACGGGAAACGCAAGAACAAAACAACGGAAGAACTCAGAACTATGAAAGTCGTGGGAAAAACACAGACGGTGTTTTATAACGACACGAAGACACCAAACCCGGAAGACAGGGATGCAGAGGCGGACGGGCCTGAACACGTGTGACGAGGGGGCGGGGGGGCGGCTTCCGTGCAGAAAAGAGCCCACAGACCAGGCTGGGAGACCAGGCTGGGAGGGAGGCTCCGCACTGCACACTCAGAGGGCCCGTGTCCCCCGCACACACAGGGCTCCTTCCCGCCACCCACGACAGGAAGTCGGCTGGCCCTACAGAAAAGTGAGAGAGGTGGCTGTTATCCACGAAAACCCACCCGCGGTTCGCACCCCCGTGGAACTCGCCCGACCTCGTCCGTGCTTGGGGGGGGGGGTTAAAAATCACAGCCCCGCGCTAGATTTGCCGGGAGACTGAACCAATGCGATGCCCCCTGCGGGGTTGGCCGGGGTGCGAGGGCGGCCTCTCGGGGACGGGGTTCAGAGCCGACGCGAGTCTGTCCGCCTGCCAGCAGCCGCGCCGCCCCGCGTGCGTTTCTTAGAGACGCGGCGGGCCAGCAGCGTGCGGACAGGGTGGGGGGGGGTTGTGTCGGGGGGGTGCGCTGTGGCTGTGTAACCGCCCTCCGCCCGGGTGCCGGGGGACGGCACGATGTTTCAGAAACCGCGGCCCGCCCGTCCGTGGGTCGTGAGCAGGATGAGGACACTCTCCTCCTCCGGGTTCCCCCGTCATGTGACGGCTGCTCTGGAAGCAGGAGCAGCACCGCACACACGTGGCCCCGTCACGGGCAGGAGTGCCCTGCACGAGCGTGCAGCTCAGAGACCCGCCCCCCCACGGGACAGGGACGGCCCCCGACCGCAGCCCCATCTCCTCCAGCCCGAGCTCTGACAGCCGCCCGCCAGCACCGGCCAGCGGGAAGCACGTGGTGACCGGCACCCTGCTGTGCCGGCAGTGTGCGCACGGGCGCAGCACGGACACGGAGCACGTGTGCCCGCACGGGCACAGAAACACTGGCGCGGCCCGAGCGAGTCAGTGGGGCGGGGCGGCCGCAGGCCCCGGGGCGGTCTTGCCCCTGAGCACAGCGCTGCCGCCTCTGCGGGGGGCCGGGCCTGTCCACACCTTCCAGGGTCCCTGATGTCTGTGGAGCCCAGAAGTTTGACTTCTCTGACATCCCAGTCCCCCGGCCTGCCCCCACCTGGCCAGCACCCACGTGCTCCCCACTCCCTCCGCCTGGACCGTCGTCCCCACCTCCAGGCCTGCCCTGGGAGAGACGCCTGTGCTGCGCAGAACTGGCACCCGGAGGCCTGGAGACAAAAGCCGTGTCCAGTCTCTCCCTCCATGGGAGCCCAAGGGCAGCCCAGCCTCCCGAGGCCAGCCCGGGCAGGTTTGTGGGGTGCAGGTGGACTGGGGCCCACCTCCCTGGCTGAGTAGCACGCTGGCACCCCAAGAACTCGAGGGCGTGCCCCCAGGGCCTGGGGTGGGTGCTGGAGGACCTCGGGCCTGGGGGCCTCCCGAGGGTCAGGTCACCTGTGGAGGAAGCTGGCCTCCCACACGCCCTGGGAGCTCTGGGAACAGCAGCGGCCAGACCATCCAGGCCCATCGGGATGGACATGCACCGCGGGGGCCAGGCGGCCATGGTTTCAGGACAAGTCCCAAGCAGCCCCGTCACCAGAAGCTCAGACTGGTCACCCTGAAACACTGTCTGGCAGGTGTGTGACTCTGCAAAGGGGTCCTGGGCCCAGCGGTCAGGGCTAGGTCAGCGCAGGACCGCGGGTTCCCGAAACCACTGGCCAGGGCCCCAGACCCAGCAGCAGATGCTGACAGGGTGGGAAGGGCCCCCACCCTGCGCTCCCAGCCCGGTGGGGACGGGGGCGGTGGCGGGCAGGGCCCAGGACCCCCCCACTGCCGACAACCCGCAGCAGCAGCCTCAGCCAGGTTTTCTGTTTGGACTCCCGGACGCTGTCCTTCTGCAGAGGCACTGTTCAGGCCCCCAGATGCTGGAGTTCCAGGAGGACATCCTTCTCCAGAGACACCCGGATGCTCCTGGGAGGGGCCCGCAAGGCCCGGAAGCCGTCGGTGTCTACATGTCCGGAGGCCATGGGGCCAGCACAGCTCACAGGCGGCGGCCAGCAGAGCACCCTTGCTGTGGCCTGAAGTACCCGTTCCGCGTCCTGGGAGTGGCCTGTGGTCGCTGGGGCTCGCTCTGCCCCCGTTCTCGGCCTCCTGGTTATCTGGGGCTGGCACCCCCATGCTCATGCCAGGAATGGGCTTGTGACCCCAGCCGGCCAATCTGAGCCCCATAACTCCCAGGACTGGTCCAGGGACACGAAGGAGCTCAAGATGGTCAAAGGCAGGGGCTCTCGGGCTCCGTGGGGGAGGGGCACCCTGTGTCTGCTGGGGGTGGGCCCTGGAGGAGCCACTGGGCCCTGGCCCCCTCTAACCTGAGCCTGTGAACCAGAGGGGTAGAGGCAGGTTCCTGGTGGCACTGTGGGAACGCCTGGATCCAGCCTAGCCTGAAGCCATGTGTATCCTGAACTTCTCATGTCCACACACAAGAAATTCCATGTGTTCCTTCCACTAGTTGCTCCCTGGCCCAGGAAGGCCACCCCAGGGCTCTCGTCAGACCTACCTCTTCCAGATGCTCCCCTCACCCACAGCCTCTCCCCCCGACAGACACCCCACCCTGCCCGCCCCCTGCTACAGTGCAGACTCTCGGAGGGCAAAGCCATGTGAACAGAGGGCGTGCCCTGCCCGCAGGCCGCTGGGTACCTGAGGTCAGCTGCCTCCTCAGCTGTGAGCTGGCCCTGCCTCTCCAGGGCCTCCTGCTTGGCCAGCAGCTGGGCCCGCTCCCCAGACAAAGCCTCCTTCTCCTGCAGGGCCCTCTGCAGCGTGTCCATCTGGGCCTCTCGGGCCTGCAGGCTCTGGGCCAGCTGCTCCTCCAGGGCCTGTTTCTCACATGTGACCTAAAGGCGGGGGCGGGGGGGGCTTCTTCAGGGAATGGGCTTCGGAAGAAGTGGTTTCCCTGCAGCCTGGCGTGGAGGAAAAGCTGGAAGAGAGTGGGTGCAGGACACATGGGACCTCAGGGTGCTCGTGCGCTGCCCCAGCAGAGGGGGCCTCCACTCCAGTGGCCATGACAGCGGAGTTGCAGCACCGGGCATGCCCGGCTGCCAGCCTGCATGGCAACCCAGGCAGGACCACAGGTGTCCGGGTGCAGCAAACACCGCACAGAAATGGCGGTGGCAGCTGACAGCGCACGGGGCTGCTCCAGACTAACACCGCCACCCAGCACGTCACACGGATTGGACCAGACCCGTCACGGAGGCTGACCAAGGCCCCGTGAGCTGCCAGGCCGGCTGGGACGGAAGGAGCCGAGACCCGGGAGGGAAGGGGTGGAGGAACCAGTTCCCACTCCGGGCCTCGTCCCTCTTCAGGGCGTGTGCCGAGTGAAACGTTTTCGCCGAGGATCTGAGAAGTCGAGGGGCGTTTCTGGCAGCATTGTGGCCTTAGGGGTCCAGAAGTTCAAATTCAGAGCCGCTGCAGGGGTGGAAGGGCCGAGGCAGGCCCCGGGCTCCCAGCCGTGTCCCGGTGGGCTGGAGCGGGGCGGCCCTCGGCCTCGGAGCATGGCCGCCGTCCACCCTCGCTGCCTGTCAGAGCCCAGCACGCTCCCTCTCCGGGGGAGCAGCGTCCGTCCAACCATTTCTGTGGTGTTTACGTGCGCGGCGTTTGACCTTCAACCAGCCTCGCCAGGCGTATCGGGAGATGAGACCCCGGGACAAAAGCCGATGTACCAACATCGAGTGAACCCGGACGCCCCCTCGCCTCCCTGGGGCGCTCAGACACACCCCGACGGCTGTGAGCAGACGTTCGGGAAGGCGAGTGGCGAGATGTGGTTTCACCACTGAGCCAGACACTGAGCAGGAACAATGTGACTTACAAATGCAGTGTCCCAGTGACGTACTGGACAGGACAGAAGAGTGAGGGTCTGGAAAGCAGACAAAACAGGGTGTTCAGACTGAGTCGGGAAGAGAAAGAGGGACGCACCATTCAGAAAAGGTGTGACGGATGCACAGGACGAGGGCCGCCACGTGCATAGCTGGTCTCGGAGGGAGAGGAGAGAGAGTATTCGAACAGACGCTGGACAGGAATTCTGCAAATTCACTAGAATACATTGTTTTCGAAAGCCTCGGTTTTAGAATGAGCCATAATACCCTAAAAAGGTAAATACAAAGAAAACGTCACCTAGATATATCTGAACACTAAGGTTTTGACTACTAAAACAGGGGAAAATATCTTTAAAGATCAGAGGGGCCAAAAAGCACAGACACTACACTTAAGTGAGCGACAAGGAGGCTGGCGCTTGGCTCCCAAACAGCGGCAGGCGCTCAGGTCCCAACTGCCCCCCCGGCGAATTCTACCGACATGGAGAAGGACGTAACACCCATTGAAAGACACCCCCAGGAAACGGAGGACAAGGAGACCTTCCCAACTTACTTCATGATTGGAAACACCTGTGGGGTTGTGGCGGCAGCGGGAGAGACTGCCAGCCTCACGGGAGAGTTCGTTGGAGGGACCCACAGGGTCCTAGAACGTACACAAGCCCACCCACCCGGGAATCAGCACCAGAAGGGCCCAGTTTGCTTGGGGGGTGGCGGGGGGAGTGACTGAAAGCCAGCAGAGAGCTGAGCCAGTGCCATTGTTCCCTCTGGGACCCCTCCCTCACACACAGCATCACAACGCAGTGACGTGGGTTGCCCCTCCCAGGTGAGAACCTAAGGTTCCGCCCCTCATATGTAACGGGTGTGTCAAGACAAAAAAAATGGCCCAGATGAAAGAACAGATCAAAGCTCCAGAAAAAATACAACTAAGTGACGAAGAGGTAGCCAACCTATCAGATGCACAGTTCAAAACACTGGTGATCAGGATGCTCACAGGATTGGTTGAATTCAGTTACAAATTAGATGAAAAAATTAAGGCTACGTTAAGTGAAATGAAGGAAAATACACAGGGAACCAATAATGATGGGAAGAAAACTGGGACTCAAATCAACAGTGTGGACCAGAAGGAAGAAAGAAACATCCAACCAGAAAAGAAAGAAGAAGCAAGAATTCAAAACAATGAGGAGAGGCTTAGGAACCTCCAGGACATCTTGAAACATTCCAACATCTGAATTATAGGGGTGTCAAAGGAGCAGAGGAAGAGCAACAAGTGGAAAACTTATTTGAACAAATAATGAAGGAGAACTTCCCCAATCTGGCAAAGGAAATAGATTTCTGGGAAGTCCAGGAAGCTCAGAGAGTCCCAAAGAAGTTGGACCCAAGGAGGAATACACCAAGGCACATCATAATTACATTAGCCAAGGTAAGAATGAAGGAGAGAATCCTAGAAGCAGCAAGAGAAAAGGAGACAGTTACCTACAAAGGAGTTCCCATCAGACTGTCAGCTGATTTCTCAAAAGAGACCTTGCAGGCAAGAAGGGGCTGGAAAGAAGTATTCCAAGTTATGAAAGGCAAGGACCTACATCCAAGATTGCTCTATCCAGCAAAGCTCTCATTTAGAATGGAAGGGCAGATCAAGTGCTTCTTAGATAAGGTCAAGTTAAAGGAGTTCATCATCACCAAACCTTTATTATATGAAATGTTAAAGGGACCTATCTAGGAAAAAGAAGGTAAAAAACATGTATAGTGAAATGACAGCAAACTCACAATTATTAACAACCACACCGAAAACAAAAAGACAAACAAACTAAGCAAACAACTAGAACAGGAGCAGAACCACAGAAATGGAGATCACATGGAGGGTTAGCAACAGGGGAGTGGGAGGAGGAGAGAGTGGGGAAAAGGTACGGAAAATAAGTAGCATAGATGGTAGGGAGAAAATAGACAGGGGGAGGGCAAGAATAGTGTGGGAAATGCAGAAGCTAAAGAACCTATGACCCATGGACATGCACTGAAGGGGGATGGGGGTGGGAGGGGTGTGCAGGGGGGAGGGAGTGAAGGGGGGTTAGGGTCAGCGAGCGAGTCGGGCGGCAGGGAGAGAAGCAGCTCACCACAGGGAGCAGCGAGGCCCTGCTGAGGGCAGACCCTGCCCCTGGACACCGGGACGGGCACGAGGCCCAGGGCCTTCCTAGTGCAGCCTCCCTGTCCTCCACCTCCCGCCGCGGGGAACTAACTGCCCTGTGCTCGCAGCCCCGGCCAGGCAGCACGGCAGCTGGAAAGCCGAGCCAGCGCAACCGGGTCAGGTGACCTGTGACCTTGCAGGTCCACACCCCAGAGAGGGAGCGGTGGCCCTGCGGGGGCGCAGAGCCAGGAATCCCTGCAAACTCTCACCTGGCCCACCTGGCCCTCCAGCTGCTCCAGCTGCTGCTCAGCCTGCGCCAGGCGCTCCTGGGTGCCCGCCCGCTCCTGCCTCAGCCGGTCCTGCTCCTGCTGCAGCTGCCCGGGGAGGGGTGGGAGGGGCGGGAGGGGCAGCGTCCACGTCGGGCCCCAGGCCCCCGCACCCCACGAGCTGACCATACCCCCACCCTGCCGCCCCGGTGGGTGTGACCTTCCCTCCCGCAGGCCAGGCCAGTCGGGCCCCCTGGCCCTGTGTGGGCCCCCCTCCCCCAAACCTGCACGCAGCCCGGCAGCGGAAAAGGCGGGGGTGGCAGGTGCAAGGAGGGTTCTGGGCTCAGAGACCAGAGCTGGGACCGAATCCCACGGCCACTGGGCCCCCGTCTCACCTGCAGGACCTGGCGGGTCAGGGCACCTTTGTCCCGCGCCAGCCCCTCGGTCAGGGCGGCCATCTGGGCCAGGGCGTCCCGCTGCTGCGCCCCCTCTGACTTGAGCCGGGTCACGAGCAGCTCCAGGTCAGCATTGCTGGACTCGGCCTGGGTGGGGAGGACAGTGGTCACCCCGAGGGGTGCCCAAGGGGATTTTCAGGGTCATAGGCAGAACTGTTAGTGCTGGGGGGAAGCTGGAGGGAGGGACGGAGCCCCCCATCATGGGGGTGCACAAGCTGGAGGTCTGGGTGCGACGGCAGAGGGGCCCCATGGCTGGGGCCCCCACCGGGCACGGAGGCTGCGGCCAGGGGAGGTGGCAGGGCGGCCTGGGGCAAGGGGGCTGGTGGAGTGGGAGGCAGAGGGCCCAGCGGCGTACCCGGGCCAGGGTGCCGTGCAGGGCTGCCCTCTCGCTCTCCAGAACGTCCCTCTGCAGCTGGGCGGTGGTCAGCACCTCCTGGGCCGACGCCAGCTCCTTCTCGAGCCCTGAGACCTTCTCCTCCAGCTGCTCCAGGCGCCCTTGACTGAGGCCCCCCCAGGTCAGAGGCAGAGGGTGTGAGGTCGGCGCAGGGCCCCAGGGGCAGGGGGCTGCCTGCAGCTCCCTCCAAGCCCAGGGTCACCCCGGAGGCCTGGACTTGGTGAGTCCACAGGGCGGCACCCAAACCAAGACCCCAGGTCCTGGCTGGTGGTGGGGCTCCGTCCGGGCCTCAGTGGACTCGCCTGGACGAGGTGGGCGGTACCTGCCTGGGGCGCCCCCTCTGCTGGTTCTGGGTGGTGGGTTTGCTGAGGGGGGCACTGGGCGGGTGCTGGGTGGGGGTGGGGATGACGGCTCAGCCCGGGGGGAGCCTGGGGGAACCTGTCACCCCCACCCCCGAGACAAGGCTGCCGAGGGAGGGGTCCCCCTCGTGGATGAGACACTGATGCCCGTGGGAGGCAGGGGCCGCGCCCGGCCCACCTGGCCTCCAGCTCCTCCTTTCGCTGCGCCCAGAGCAGGAGGCGGCTCTGCAGCTCCGCGTTCTCTGCCTCCAGCTTCTGCGCGTCCGAGTCCCAAGTGTGCGCCCGGCCCCTCAGCTCCGCCACCTCCACCTCCAGAGCCGCCTTCTCTCTGGGGACAGCGAGACCGAGGCTGGGGCAGCCCTGGGGGAGGGGAGGGGAGCGGGGGGGGGGGCCCCTCACTGGGCACTTTCGGGGGGGGCGGGGCAGGGTGGGCGCCAGGCATCGGGGCTCTGGGGCAGGTGCTCAGGGAAGTGCGGGGAGGGCCGAGGCAGGTCCAGCCACCTCCAGCCCCGGGCCGGCCTGCAGTGTGGGGTGGCCAGCAGGCCTGTCCCCTCCGGGTGGCCCCGTGGGAGTCCTTAAAACAGGAAGCTGCTGCCCCTGGTGTGTCCCTGCGCGGAGCCCTCTGCCACCCGCGGGCCTGGCTCAGCCCGTGTTGGGGACGAGGGGAAAGGGGCTGGTGTTGTTGGCTGCTGGCGGGGCCGGGGGTGGGGGCCGGAGGTGGGCGAGGGGCCGAGGCAGGCAGCTGGAGCAGGGCGGTGCCCGGGGTGGGACTGCCCGCCCTGCCCGCTGTGAGCCACCTGCCCAGGCGATCGCTGGCCGCCCTGCAGTGCTGGGCCTCCCGGCGCTGCGCCTCCAGCCCGTCCAGGAGGCTCTCGCGCTCCCGCTCGCGCTCCCGCAGGGCCCTCTGCGCTGCCCGCAGCTCCCGCTGCCTCTCCGACAGCTGCTCCCGGAGCCCGGCCACCACCGCCTGGCAGGACTCCAGCTGCAGGCGCAGCTCCTGCTCCGGGGTGGGGAGCGGCGTGAGCCCCCTCTGGCCTTTGACCACAGGCCCCCGAGGAAGCAGGTGCTGTGGGCGGAGCCCCCTCCCGGGGCTGTGGGGCTCGGGGGCCGGCCCCACGGGCGTCACGCCCCCATGGGGACCCGGACGCAGCTCCCGGACGTGGGCACCTGCTCCTGCTGCTGCCGCCTCTCGATGGCTGTCTGCACGGCCCACAGCGCAGGGTCCAGGGCGGCCGGGGAGTGGGCCCGGGGCGGGGACCGGCTCCAGCGAGGGGACGAGGTGCTCAGGGGGCTCCTCAGTGGACCCGGCGCCTCCTCCCCACCAGCGCCGCCGCTCTGCGCCAGCACCGGCCACCCCGAGTCCGCCCGGGCCACCTGCACATGCGGGTACAGCGCTCAGGGCCGTGCCCAGCGGGGCCTCCCAGACCGTCCGCCCCGCAGGCCAGCTGGGGCCCCGGGCGGAGAGGACCGCACCTCCGTGACGGCACTCAGGACGCGCCGCAGGGACTGCACTTGGCCCTCCAGGTCCTCCGCTGCCCGCCGGCCTCCTCCTCCGCGCTCGGACTCCTGCGGCCGGCAGAGCCTCAGCAGGGCACAGACCGCACCCCCCACCCCAGCCCCTGAGCCGCCCTCCCCGGCCCTGCACCAGTCTCTGGACGTCCGCCCTGAGGGAGGAGATGGTTCTCTCCTTCTTCGAGGTTTGCTCCGTGAGCTTCCCCACCAGCAGCGTCTGCTCGGAGAGCCTGCAGAAGGGCCGGGGCGGGGCCCGCGGGGTCAGCGCGGCACACGAGCCCAGGGCACCGCGGGCCCGAGATGCCCGGCTGGGTCCAGGCTCTTTCCGGGTGCGGCTGGGCCGCGGGCACCCGCCACGCCCGTCTCCGTGGGCCTCAGTGCCCGGTCTGACCGGAAGCCTTTCTCCTACTCTAGAACCTTCCATGACTCCCCCTGGCTTGGTGGTGAAGCTCAGCCCCCGAGGTCGGCACCTGAGTCCCCTGTGCTGATGCGGACGCAGCCCTCCCGCCTCGGGGCCAGTGGCTTCTGGGGCCCCGCCTGTCCCTGGGACACCGGGCATGCGGTGCTCACGCCGGACCTCTGCCACCCCTGCTGCCACAGGTCTGGCGGTGAGTGACGGTGCTGGGGTCCCTTCCTGCCCAGGACCCCTCCTTCTCGGAGTCCGTCGGCTGCCCTGTGGCACCTGGGTGTCCCTTCCCGCGGCCCCCGCTCTGCTCAGGCCCTGGGTGCCGCCCCCGCAGGACACACCGGGCTGCCCCGCCCCCACCGTGCTCCAGGCCCCTGAGGGCAGGGCGGGCCCCAGCCTGCCAGCCTGCCACGGTGCCTGTGGCCGCTCCAGCCCCTTGCCCCTGGGTTTGCTGCCGAAGGAAACAGGCTTCGAGCCCCAGACGCGGTTCTGTGAGCAGAACCTCCCGCCTGCCCCCTCCCGGTGCCTCTGCTTCTCCAGCGGCCGACCCCGAAACAGCGCCGGCCGGAAGGTCGTGCTTCGAGGCCTGAAAACCCCACTTCTGGGAGCCGGCCACGAGGACAGCGCACAGGCCCTCGGCGGTGCCACGGAGACCCTCCACGTGGGGGGCTCTGGCTGTGGCCTCCAGGGCCGGCCACGGAGTTGGGGCACGCCTGTCAGCCCGTGGGACTGTCACGTGGCCCCTGGAGCGACGGCGGCCCGCTGCTCAGAGCCCGGCTGCCGGCAGACAGGAAGGGGGTGCGCGGAGCCCCCACCCCCACCGCGCTGCGCGGTCGCCGGCTCGGGCGCCCACCTGGCCTGCAGCGCCGCCCTCTCCGCGTCCCAGCGGCTCCGCAGCTGCAGCATCTCCCGCTCCCTGTCCCGCAGCCGCCGCTCCAGGGCGCCCGCCGCGCTGCTGGCTGACAGCCGCAGGTTGGAGTCCAGGTTCAGGCAGGCCGCGTGCAGGCGCCGGGCCGTCCTGGCTGCGTCCGCTCGCATGTCAGCGAGGCCCCTGGGGACACGGCAGCCCCCCGGCCCAGCCTCAGCACCAGCCGTGGGCTGGGGGCCCAGGGGTGCCAGGCTGGCTGGGGTGGGCAGGGTCTCAGGAGAGGCCCCCACCACGTGCTATGGACTGCCCCCAGGTCACAGCTGGGCGGGGTGGGCGGGCGCTGGGCAAGGCCACGGAGCGGGTGGGCCCCCGAGCCCAGCTCCCTCGGGCGCGCACAGAGGGCTGGCAGGTGCTCGGCCGCCCAGGGCGGAGCCTCGAGGTGCCGGGAGCTGCGCCCCAAGGCTCTCCCTCCTCTCACCGCTGCCCTACACCCTGGCCTCCCTCACCCTGTTCTGACTGCCCTCGGCCCCCGCCTCCACTCCCGTGGGGCTGACCTGAGGCCCTGCAGGGCTGGGGAAGGGGCTCCCGGCCCAGGATGGCTGCGTCCACGGGAGCAGCCTGCAGGGCCCCGGCCTGGGCGCCACCTGAGGCCCCTCCTCCCCCCCCACCATGGCGGGCGGCCCGCTCACCTCTCGGTGGCGGATCGCAGCTCGGCCAGGGGTGCCCGCAGCGCGGTCACCTGCCTCCACAGGAGGAGGAGGCCCCGGGGCTGCTCCCTCTGGCGCAGAGGCTGCGGGTGGGAGAGGAAGGGGCCGGGGGTGAGGAGCCCTGCGACCCCCCTCTCCCACCCCCTGCTCCCGCAGCGGCCGCCTGCCGACTGCCGCCCCCCACCCCACTTCTCTTCCCCAGCCCTCGGCTCCGCCCCAGCCCCCGGCTCTGCTCCTCTCGGGGGTGGAGGGCAGCTCTCCCCGGGAGGGCTCCCGAGACTCCAGGTGAGTGGCCTGGCCCCGGGATCACGCTGACCCCTCCCCCCCAAGGGCTCAGGGTTTCAGAAGACTGACCAGCCAAGGCTTCGGGCCCTGCTGCCCTGGCCAGGGGCAGGGTGGGGCGGGGTCACTGCTGCGGTCTGACCAGGAGGCAGCCTCCCTTGACACCTGGCTCTCTCTGGGGCAGGACTCGGGCCTGTCCCTACTGTCCAGACCTGGCCTCAGGGCCCTGCCCTCCTCTCAATGGAGCGGTGGTCCCCCCTCCCGGGGGCCCCCTACACCACACTCTGTGGCCACGCCGAGTGGGGGACACGGAGAGGCAGGAGGCCAGGGTGCCGCCCGGGGAGGAAGCACAGCGGAAGCCAGCTCCCCCGCCCAGCCCACCCTGGCCCCTGCGGTCCACCCCGACCCCCGCAGCCCCGGCGCGGAGCGGGCGTCCCCGCCCGCGGGCAGTGGTGGGGGGAGCACCTGTCCCTGGGCCCAGCGCCGTGCCTCCCTCAGCTCCAGCTGGGCCCGCAGGCGGAGCACGCTGCCCGTGGTCCCGGCCAGCTCCGCGGCCAGCGCGTCGTTGGCCCTCTTCATGTGCGCCAGCTGCCGCCTGAGCAGCGTGTTCACCTGGGCGAGGCTGGTGCTCCTGCGGGGCGGGGACCACCGTGGCGTGGCGTGGCGTGGGCGGTGGCTCTGCTCAGGGCAGCTCCGAGGCCCGGCCCACGCCAGCTCCCCGTGCAGCCCCCTGCCTGCCCCACGCAGCAATCTGCAGCGGGTCTGTTTTGGGAAGAGGATGGCCAACAGCCCAAGGCCCCCTGGGCCCCGCTGCCCCTTGGGGTGTCGGCCGAGCCCTCTGCGCCCTGACTGCCGTGCCCCCGGCCTCACCGCTGCTCCGCGGCCTCCAAGCGGCCCAGGGTCCCCTCCAGGTCCGCGCTGTGCTCCAGCTCCGACCTCCGCAGCCGCGCCTCCGTGGTCTCCAGCCGGGCCTGCAGCTGGCGGGGAGCGTCGGCCCACCAGGTGGGAGGCAGGCCTCCCCCTCCCCCCGGGGCACCCAGCAGGGCTGGCTGGCCGGGGTCAACCTGGGGCCGGGGCTGGAGAAGCTCAGGCCCCTTCCCACGATGGGTCAGATGGGTTGGCGTCCACACCCTGCCCGAGGGCCGAGGGTGTGCGGCCAGCTTAGGAGGCGGCCTTGAGGGTCTGGGCTGGCCACATGAGGGGCAGGACATTCAGTCACAGAGCAGGCCTGGGGTCGCCCCCACGAGAGCGAGTGAGTGTGGGGTGGCCCCCACAAGCTGCCCCTCCTGCCTGTGCGCACACCTCTGCCTCGTCCGGCAGGTGGGTGGGGGCCACACCCAGCTGGGGGCCAGGCCTGCCCCAGGGCTGAGCAGACAGGAGCCCTGGGGCTCTGAGGGGGAAAGGGCGCACTGGCCCCCCGAGATGTGCCTACTTGGAGCACTCTCTGGGGTGTCGGGAGAGGGGACTCAGACCCTGAGGGCAGGCTGGCGGGGGGCTGAGAGGCAGGAAGGCCAGGAGAGCTGGAGGCCACGCCTGTGTCCTGACCTGGGGACCGGGGGCACTGGGGACCTGGGGACGACGGGTGTGTGGGGAGGTGGGTCCCCTCCTCGGCCACCAGCCAGAGGAGGAGGGGGCCGGAGGTCCTAGATGGAGGCGGGCGCTTGGGCGGACGCTGCCGCCAGACTTGGGGACACCAGGAAGCAGCCACGCTGGCCACCTGGGGAACTTGGGGGGGGCGGGGCCTCCGCTGGCGCCACACCGGGGGGCCGAGTGTGTGCCCAGCTGCGCCCTCGGCGAGCTCAGGTCTGACGCACAGGATTACTAATCCAGCCGCAGAATTCCCGCGGCGTCTGCTCCCGCCGGCCATCCCACCGCCTCCCGCCCTGTGCTAGGGGCACCCCACCCCCACGGCCAGCGGGGGGCTCACGGGGCACTCTCCCAGCACTCCCCCGGACCTGGCCCCAGGGGAGGACCCTCGCCTCACAGCCCTGCCCCCGGCCCCCTGGTGTGGCGGCCACCGTGAGAATGGGTGTCCCCAGCGTAGGGGTCCTGGGGCCTTGGGCACTTAGCACAGGTCGCTGGTCACTGGCGGCGGTCTCAGCCCTGGGCAGCTCTGGCCCATTCTGAGCCTGCTTTCTCCTCTGGAAAGTGGGGTCACCTCTCCTGCCCCACAGAGTGAGGGGGCTCTGAGGGCAGCGAGGGCAGGAGCTGGGCCTGCCCAGCAGGGCCCCTGGGCCCCCCGCGCTGTGGGCTGGCCCTCGCACGCCGCCCAGCCCTGCCTCAGAAGCAGACTCGGGGCAGAGGCCTCGAGCAGAGTCCTCAGCCCCCTGCCCCGGTGTCCCCACGTTCACAGCGGGAGGCCCCAGCCCACACGCGGTGGCCACACGGGCCTCTCGCTGCGGCTTGCGGGGAAGGTCACCCTGCAGGGCACCCGGGGTGGACCTGGGAGGACCCAGGGCCTAGGGTCCCAGCTGTTCCTCAGCTGTCGGGAAGGGGTGGGGGTGGGGACTCAGCCAGTTCTCCGAGAGCTGCTGCGTCTGAGGGCTGGGCGGGGCTGGTCCTCACCGCTCGGAAGGGCTCGGCGCCTTGTCCGCCCACCCCCCCGCCCAGCCCCCTCAGGCAGGCGCTGGCCGAGCACTGGCGCCAGGCCCCCCCGGGCGCGGCTCTGTGCCCACCGTCAGGGCCGACCAGGCCGCCCCCGCGGGGCCCCTGGGCAGGCGGCACGCGGGGATGCCCTCGCTGCACGGTGAGCCCGAGGCGGCCTGGCACCGCCCTGCCCTTACCTCCATTTCCCCGTTGTCCCCGGGGTGGGCCTGAGTGGCTGACCCACAGCCTAAGACTCACTGACGATCCCGCTGGTCCACCCTCGGGTCCCAGCGGGCGACGCCTCCCCCCAGGCCACCCCCCCGCCCCGGGCCTGTCGCAGCCCGCCGCACACACCTACCCGCTCGCGGACAGCGTGGTACCTGCCGGCCAGCTCGTCCCGCTCGGCACCCGCCTGGGCCAGCAGGCCCTGCAGCCGGGCCAGCTGCTGCTGCAGGAGCTCGCTCTCCTCCTGCCTGGCGGCCTGGGCGGCCAGCTCCTGCGCCCCTGCAGGCACGGCACGGCACGGGGTCAGCCCGGGGCCATGCTGTGCGCCCCAGGCACAGCACCCGGTCCCCATGGTGGCGGTGGCGGTGCGGCTGGCCTGACCCGGGGCCGGGCGTGGAGGTGGCCTCACACTAAGCACCTAGCCTGCACTGCGGTCAGTGGGCCGTCTCCTGCCGTTTATCAACATCCTCACTCAAATTCAGCCCTTGCCCTGGGCGAGCCCCAAAACAATTACAGAGGAGTGGGGGTGCCCCCACCCCAGGGGGCCGTGGGAACTGCTGATTTCTGGTCACGGGATCCCATCCGTGAGGAAGGAGGGGCTTTCAAACCACACCTGGGGTTTCTCTTTCCTTAGTGCCCACTCGGGACGGGCCCTCAGTGCGGGAGGGGTCCTGGGACCCACACCTGGGGGGTCGGACTGGCTCGCAGTTATGAGTGCCCGGGGCCGGCCACCCCACGTCTCGGGGGTCTGGGGGCAAGAACCCAGCCTCTGAGCCGGTTCCCCAACTGCTGAGCGTGACAACAAGGGGGCGCCTCAAGGGGGCGCCTCAAGGGGCCTGCAGGGCTGGGTGAGCAAAGCTCTCGGGGTGGGGACGGGGGGCTGGTCAGCATCTCTGTCCCCTGAGCCTCAGCCACGAGGGCTTCCGCTCATCAAATGAAAAACAAATGTGGATGAAATCGGGGCTGGAGGTCACAAATGTGTCGCAAACACAAATAAATGCAGGGCTGGCTTGGGAAGGTCCCCGTGGCCTGGCAGTGAGGACGCTGTGGGTGTGTGGACACACGGCCCCTGGGCCACCCCGTGGGAGGGTGTGGTTCTGAGGCCGTTCACACTGGAGGAGCGCAGGCCAGCAGTGGACCAGTCGGGGGGCAGCGGGGGCTCGGCTCCCTGAAGCTGGACCCCAGCTGGTGGCTGAGCAGCTCCCCCCATCCCCCCACCCCCACCCCCTCCTTTCACCTTGGGGTGGCTCCTCGCCCAGGCTGCCGGCCACGATCTCACGGATGCGGGCAGGCAGCGGGGTGGGGGAGGCCGGCCAGGCTGCCCCCCGCACGGTCAGCGCCCGGTCTTCCCTGCTGGCCTCGGGACTCAGGACAGTGTCCTCCAGCTTCTGAAAAACACCCAGCTGGACGCACCTGGGGCTATCGGGCCCCAAGAGCTGCCGGGCACCCCCATGTGAGCCCGGCGGTGTTAGCGGGGGCTGGAGGGGCTGACCACGGGGCTCCCCGCCGCAGCAGGATGCCCTGGAGGGGCCTGGGTGAGGAGGGGGTCTCCCGAGACACGCGCCTCGGCTCTCCCCTGCGCCTCGGCTCCCCGGCCTGAACCTCGGGGGCGCCCTGCCTGTCTAGGCACCGCAGTCCCCGCCGTCACCGCCACGAGGAAGAGCGGAGAAGGGCCGGTCCAGGAACGCCGGGCCTGGGCCCTCCCCACACCCTGCCCTTCGGCGTGGCTCCTATCCTGAGGGCTGGGCTGGGCCCTCACACCTGTCCGGGGATGCTGGGAGGCGGGGGTCCTCCCTGGGTCCCCGGGGCACCCTCCCACCCACCTGCAGTGGGTGGTCTCTCGGTTCCCACTGGGGCCGTCGGGGAGTGGCAGGCAACTGGTATCAGGACAGAGCCCCCTCCCCTTAGAACAAGGCCAGCTGTGAGGGCACCTTGGGGCCTGGGGGGGCAGGGTGGCAGGCGGAGAGGGCGGCGGTCCTTTCCAGCCTCAGGAGCAGCCGCCCTGCCTCAGAAGAGCTGGCCGCCTGGACGTGGGCAGGAAGTGCAGGTCCCGGGGCGCCTCTGGCTCTGAGCTGGCCCTCTGCCTCTGCCTTGGATGGGGGGCTTTTTGTTCCCCTGGGGGTGCCCCTTGTCTCCAGGTCTAACTGTGGTGCTGACTTTGGGGAGGACCATCAGGGGCCTGTGGATGCGGGCTGGGGACAGGAGCCATTTCAAACCAGCAGGAAAGCTCTGGACCTGGGGGGCAGGCGGGGCCAGACAAGGTCACCCAGCAGTGAGACAGGTCTCAGCGCCCGCCCCGCCACATTCAGGATGTCTGGTTTCAGGGCAGTGACTGCAGTATGAAAGGGTGACCCCAGGGGTCCTGGGGATGGATGTCCACTTCCAGTGACTCCAGGATGGTCAAGTGGGGTCCTGCTGTCACCCCCTCCCAACCTGGCCCCATGTGCCCAGACACCCCTCCCCAGGACTCCTCTCCCTGTACCCCTCGGAACCACGGCCTGCTCCCCCTCACCCCGTGACCCCCCAGCTCTTCCTGCTAGCCCAGGGTCCAGGGCAGCGACCACAGGGCAGCCTCCCTGCCTGTCCTCCTCCGTCCTCTGACGCCCACCCCCCAGTTCTCCCAGGACACCCTCTCCTGTGCAGACCCCTGCTGGGCGCTGGCCCTCCTGCCCCCAGGCCGGTGGGAGCCCAAGGCAGCCTGCTGGCGCCGGCTCACTCTCACCCCACCCTCTCCGCTCCTGAGACCCGGCCTGGAGTCTTCTTCCCGCATCCACCTCCAAGGCTCCCTGGTCCCCCAGACTCTCCACCAGGACCAGACTGCTGCTGTCGCCCGAAACCTGGCTCCTTCACGGCACCTGGGGAGGCTTGTTCTGGTCCCCACGGCAGCCCAGGGTGGGCCGCCCTGAACAGATGGCGCTGGGGTGACAGCCCTGGTCCCGGTTCCCTGGAGCCCAGCCCCGCGGCAGGCTGGAGCCTTGCTTTTCCCGGAGTTTGAATGTCAGTCCCCGTGGAGGTCTTGGGGACTCGCCCTCACTCTGCATCCCCCACACGCCCCCCTCCAGCCCGAGCGGAGTCTGGGTGGGCGTGAGCGGCCTCCGCTGCGCAGCGGGGGGACGTGCCTGCCACTCCTCCGGGCCAAAGAGGACCCGGTGCCAAGACCACCGCCGCCTCTGCGGTCCTCCCGGGAGGAACGGCCGGGGGTGGGGGGCGGGGGAGCGGGGCTCAGCCGCGGCCTGCCCTGAACCCTGGACGAGAACCGAGAACCGGGGAAACGGAGGCCCAGCGGGTGGCGAGAACCGCCGGGACCCGCGGGACGCTCACGTCCCGGAAGCCTCCCTCCTGGGCCAGAAGGCCTCTGCCCTGGCTTCCCGCCCGCCCCCCTCCGCTCCCCCGGGCGCCCGCGGCGCCACCCGTAACGGGAAAGCGGCAGCGCGGCCCGAACTTGACTCATTCCTGCGTGCACAGAGGGTCACTTATTAGCCGAGGCGTCCCCAGAGGCGCGGGGGCCTAATGGGTTCCAGCTGTGGCCGGGTGCCTGCGACGGGCCGCGGCCCAGCTGGAGCCGAGGGGGCGCGGCGGGGGCTGAGCGGAGGGGGCGCTCGGCACCCCCCCAGTCCCCCGCCCGCGGGGTGAGGCCGCCCCGCCCCCGCGGAAACAGCGGAGGAGGGAGAGGCCGGGCGGGGCGGGGCCTAGGGCGGGAGCGGAGGCGGGGCCTGGGCGGGGCGAGGAGCGGTGGTGGGGGCCGTGGTGGGTGGGGCGCGGGCGGAGCTGGGTCCCGGCCCTCCGAGCCTGCGCAGAACTTGGCTGGGACCTCAACGCTGGCCACTTTTTCTCGGCCCGCGGGAGTCTGGCCCCGAGGGGTTCACGGTCCCCACCCCGGCCGGGCCCTGGAGGGTGGGCGTCTGCTGTGCGGGCAGCGCACCCGGAGACTCCTAGGAGCGCGCTGGGGACCCTGAGTCGGCGGAGGGGACGCCGGGCTGGACTCCGTTTCCCCAAAGACCCCGGACTCAGTGTCGAGCCCTGCCGTGTCCTTCCTCCTCCTCCCCAGCGCCCTCCTCTGCTAACCTGCGCTCTAGACGCAGCGCGGTCACAGCTCTGCGGGCACCCGGTGACCCAGGGCCGGGAGGGACGCCCCGGACCCAGAGAGGGTCGGAGTGTGACGGGCGCGGCGGCCACCCCTGCGTCACCGGCCCCTCCATCATGCCTGTGGAGGGAGAGCGCCACCCCGAGGAGCGTGGGCTCCCCTGCCGAGCCCATTCCGCGTTAAGCAGGACCCCTGTAGCAGACCTGAGCTGGGACCCTGCGGCGCCGTGGGTGTGCCACCTGCCCGCAGCCTCCTCGTGGCCTCGTCTGTGAAAATCTGTGTGTCAGGGACGGTCCCAGAGGAATGCCCCCACCGCTCAATGGGGGGTGGTGTGGGGTCTCTGGGACTCCCGCCTGGGGACGGGAGGAGGCTGGGGAGCAGGCAGGGGGGCTTGTAGGTCGGACACGGAATCGCAGAGTCAGAGCGATGTGGCCCTCTCCCCCTCGCTGGTGACCAGCAGCGGAAGCCCCGATGCTGAACCTCCAGGCTGCTGGGGACGCAAGGAGAGACAGCCGATGATGATGGCCTGGTTCTCGGGCCGAGGAGGACGCATTCCGAAAGGGACCCGGTGACTTACGGACAGGAAGTTGAGCCCACCGCCCCCTCCCCCAGAACTAAACTGTGGAGACCCCTGGGTGGCCCAGGTGAGCCCAGGGGCAGGCGCTGGGAGAGGCGGCCTCCGGGGGATGCCCGGAATCAGCCAGGCGCCGCGGAGTCGCCGTGGAGGGGCTGGCCTGGGCCTCCGCGGCCGGGCGGGTGGGTCCTGCAGTGCCCCCTCGTGGCTGCCAGGGGCGCCGCAGGGCGCTGCGCCTGCCCGGCGGCGGCTGCGGGAGGATGAGGCCCAGCTGGTCCCACGGAAATGGGAACCTGGCAGGAACCCCTCGGTGCGGTGCCACAGGACACTCGCCACGCAGGGTCTCTCAGCAAACACTTCATATCCATTATCTTGACCGAGAAGATCACCTTCTCGCCTCCGAGTTATGGGGGAGGAGGTTGGGGACTTGCTCACGGCCACCCTGTCACAAGTGGCAGTGTTAGGGCCTGCCTGTGGGCACCCAAGTGCCCTTGCCGGTGGTCAGCGCGCCTGCACCTTCCCAGGGGCTGGAGGCCGGGACCCAGCAGGCATGCTGGCCTCAGGCATCCTCCCCCATGCGGCTCCCCCTGAGCCCAGGCAGCGTGCAGCGAGGCCTCGGGCCAACGTGGGCCACCCCCTGCCTTCTTCCTCCACCTCCGCCGGCCGGGACAGCCCCGCACCTCCCCACAGTGGCCCGCCCACAGGACCCCCCCTGCACGCCCAGGCAGTCAGGGGTGGGCACAGCTCGAGGACCGGTCCGAGGACAGGGCTCCCAGCCCAGCCCAGCCCAGCCACCGGACGTCTGCCTGCCGTCCCCCTGCAGCTTGGCAGCTGCAGAGGGGGCCCTGGGGTGGGGTGGCCGTCGCCAGGCTCCATTTCCTCCGGAGAAAGGGCTTCTCTGTGTCTGCGGCGCCCGGCCCCGCCGGGCCGTGACTCGGCCTGCGCAGTTTAGATCGCTCACTGGGACCTGGGGCACCAGGGCAGGGCCCTGCTGCTGGCGGGGGCGGTTCGGTCCCCACTAATGATGCAGGAGGATCCGGGCCAGACACTGGCTGACCCGGGCACTGGGGACCAGGGAGGCGACTTCTCGCTCGCCCTGGGCCGCCACCCCCGCCACCCCCCCAGCATGGCTGGCGCTCGGCACTCGGCCGGCCCAGACAGGTCCCTACACGCACGACAGGAAGCCCGGCCTAAGGTGTGTGTCACCCAAGGCGTGTGTCACCCACTGCAACATGACTCATCTCGGGGAGCTCGGGGGGCGGGCAGCAACCCCAATGATCACACTTGCTCCCGGGGGGTTGCCGGCGCCGCACAGGCGTCGGAGGAGGTGGCAGGCGCTTGGGACCTCGAAGGGTAAGAGTTCGGCGGGCAGAGGAGGCGTTGCAGGAGGTAGTTAGAGAAGCAGCCGCAGAAGATGAGACCTCCCCATCACCCCCCCGTTTACTCCTGTAAGGTCACGGGGCTCAGGGTCTTCAGGGGGAAATGTCACCGAGGGGAGTTAACTACAGAGGCATGGGGGGGCAGGGGGCCGGGGGGGGGAGCAGCGGGGGCAAAGCAACAGGTGGGCCTCTAAAGTCTGCGCACACACACACGTGCGCTGGTTTTCACGAGTGGGGCTCAGACCACCCGCCGGGTAAGCACATGGAAGGAAATGCACGGGGACCTCCCCCTCACGCTGCACACAAAGACCAGTTCCACGCGGGTTTCAGGTTTCGGTGTGAAAGCCGAACAACCCGGCTTCCGAGAGGAAGCAGAACACCGCCCTGACGTCGCAGTGGGCAAGGCCGTCTCTGAAGCAGCGCACAGGCTCCGCCGTAGAGGGGGGCGTTGGCGGACGTGCCGCAGGAGGAGGAGGGGCTTCCGATCCCCGAAAGACGCCGAGGCGGGGAAAGGCCACCCACAAGGGGCACTCGCAGAGCGCGTCTTCAAACGGGGCTGGTTTCCAGTTTACGCGGTCACGTCCGCGTCCGTGATGAAGAGAGAAGGCCCCACGACGGGCAAACGTGGGGAACAGTTTGGAGCAGACGCTTCACGGAAGATTTCCGGGGGGGGCCGTGAACAGAGGGGCAGGCGCTCAGCGTCCCTGGTCGCCAGGCCCTCGGTTCGTGAAACCGCGGTGTGAGCCCCGGGGCGCCCCCTGGTGGCCGCACGGGAAAGCGCAGGAAGTGCCGAGTGTCGGCCGGGGGAGCAGCACCCAGCCCCCGGCACACCGTGTGGCCTGGATGGCACGACCCCTTCGGCCATCCCTTCGGCAGCGTCCACTGAACCTGCCCACGCCCAGCCCGGGACCACGGTCTGGACTCCTGGGGGGGCCCCAGCAGAGCTGCACCCGCGCGGCCCCCAAAGACGTCTGGGACGTTCGGGCTGTGCTCTGCGTGACAGGCCGAACCGGAAACCTCTCCAACGGCTGTTCACACTAACCCCGTGGGAAGTGTGCAGAGCCCGAGAGCAGCGAGCGTGGCGAGCCACGGCCACGCCGCGTTCTGAGGGGCTCACAGACGTGCTGCCGCGCCAAGGCCACGTCCGCGAATGCTTTCGTTGTGCGGAAGCCCCTAAAACAAGCCAGACGAGCCTGGGCCGGGGCTCCCGGCCTCCGATGTCGCCCTTGGGTGTGGGCGCCAGAGGTGGGAGTGGGCTTGGGGGCCGGCGTGGGGCGCCCACGGGCCTCTCCAACACGGGAGCAGGCCCGGGCCCGGCCGCCCAGGAGGCCCCCGTCCCGAAGCCGCCCTGTGCCCGGGAACCTCGGTCTCCCCGTCCGGGGCGCCCGCTGGCCCCTGTGCAGTGGCACTGGGGCCTCGATCCCCGCGGTGCAGACAACAGGTGGGGGCAGGTGGGCGGGCAGGCCCGGCCGAGGCTCCTTGGGGCCTTCAGACGGCAGCTTCCGGCCGGCGGCCAGGCCTGCCATGCGCTCGCGCCCACTGCCGGTGCTGAGGCCGTTCTGCGTTCCCCCCACAAACTGGCCTGTGACGGTGGCAGCCGCCACCCTGGAGCCTCCGTCTCCCCGGGTCCAGAGGGGGTGACGGGACCCTCAGGGCTGACAGGGCCCCGGGCACCGGCTGAAAGTCTGGGGGGAAGCTCTCTGTCAGACTTGCCTCCCTGCTGCACCCACCCCCACACCAGTCAGCCCCCTGCCAGGCCCTCAGAGAGCAGAGACCCACCCAGGGCCACTGCTTGTCTCGGGCCACCCAGCTCGAGCACCCTGGCCCCGTGCGTGTGCATGCGTGTGTGCGTGTGTGGTGACGCCGCCGTGCCGGCGGATGGCCTGGCACCTCCTTTGGGCAGTCGCTCTTCCCCGGGACCCGGGTTTCATGTGGGGCTGTGCCCCGCCTCCCCCAGGCAGCCCCGAGGTGCTGGGAGCTGGGTGGACGAACGACTCTGGGCCAGCAGCTGCGCGGCCTCACTGGGACCCCTGGGTCAGCGGGGCTGGGGGTGCTGCCTGGCTGTGATGGCAGGGGGCCCCTCCAGGGGTGGGACGTCAGGCCTGGGCAGCCGGTTGGGTGTGGGGAGTAGTCGGGGTGAAGGGGAGGGGCGTGGGGGGACAATTCCCGAGTGTTGTTGGTGTCGTTATGCAGAGGAGGCTAAGAAAGTCAGAACGGGAGCTTCCGGAGCTCACAGGTCAGATACTGGGGACAGCCCCACCCACCCACCCACGGGCAGAGGTGACAAGCGCCCCTGGGGAGGGACTGGCGGCCCCCGCACGTCACCAAGAGCGACAGTGAGCTGGATCCAGAATGTCGGCCGAGGGTCCTTGCCGGGCCCCCCGCCCCCCGTGAGGGGCTGGCCAGCAGACGCAGGCCTCCAGCCCCGTCCGGGTCAGTCTGTGCCCGTGTGTGCACCCACACGCGTGCGCTTGTGCTGACCACGTGAGCGTGTGCGAAGCGCCCGGGCGCCAGGGGGGTGTGGCCTCTGCAGCGTCCCTGCCCTCGCACCGAGCCCTCGCAGCCGGCGCCTGGGGGTGCTGGGGGCAGCCGCCCACTGACCTGGATCACGGCGTCCAGCCCCGGCAGGGACCGCTCCACCGCGTCCCCATCGCCAGGATCGCTGGAGGCGGAACTCATGGCGCCTGGGGCACCGGGCCCGGGGTGGGGGGGGCCTGGGGCTGCAGTCGGGGAGTCTCCTCCCGAGACCGGACCGGGACCGGCAGGACCTCCTTCCGCTCTGGGCCCCACACCTGTGCAGCACCTGCTCCCTGTGCCGGGCTCCCAGCGGCCCCCTCTGGGCTGGGACTGTGTGGACAACCGGGCGTGAGGCGTCGCTCTGGCAACTGAAACACTGACGGCTCGGTTTCCCTGGAAACAGGAGTGCAAGCCTTGTTGCCGTGGGGACTAGGAACGCTGTTGTCTGGAAGCCGTTTCCCTGGAGACCTGGAGACGCCCTGGGTGAAGCTGTCCAGCTGCACAAGGACCCCACGCAGGGCGGTGCTGGCCTCTCCCCCGGTCCCCCCCCCGCCCCAGAGGGCAGTGGCCCGGGAGGGGCCCAGTGCCGGTGCCACACGCCGGTGGAGGTGGCCTGCAGCCTGCCACCTCCTGCCGTTGGAGACTCAGACTCTTACTCTCCCCCCAGGGTCTGGAAAGGAACCTGGAGTTCGAGGGAGCGCGGCCCGCAGCCGACCAGCGAGGCGAGGCCTGGGCAGGGGGCCCTTGTCTTCCTCGCCTTGCCCTGGGCCACGCCTCCTGGAATCCAGTTTCCCGAAAGGACGCTGCTGCAACGTGGGTGAGGTGCCTCACACCTGCCGGGGGAGGGTCATTTCTGCTCACTTACCGGAACCTCCCCAGAGCCACACAAAGGACCAGCAGGGACTCCCCCAGTCTGCCTCCCACCCCCCCCCCCCACCGCTGAGGAGGCCTCCAAGACCCGCAGCAGGCGTCCAGCCCCGCCCGCCCCTCCGGACTTGTGTGGGCAGGACCTGCCCCAGCCGGGCTGAAGCTCACAGGCATCCCCCTGGGGGCGGGGGGGGGGGGCAGCGCTGGGGTGGGCCTGCCCCCGAGTGTCTGTCCCTTCGACGAGAGGAGGCCTTTTGGGCCCTGGGGATGGGGTGTGTCCCTCTGGGGTGACCCAGGGGGGACGGACACTAGTGGGGAGCGAGTCTGCCCCCGGTGCTGCCTCGAGTCGGGGGAGCCCGTCGGGGCCTGGGCCACGTCCTCAGACTGAAGTTCACCGAAGGGGCACCTGTGCTCTGTCCTGGTCCTGATGTCCTCGGGGTCCCTGGTGCCCTGCTTGAGGGGGAGGGGGCCAGAGGCAGGGCCCCCGAACCCACCCGCTCCCTGGGGCTCCGGGGGGCACTCGGTGCTCAGGACGCTGTGGCCCCCCACCGCCCGTCCCGCTCAGGCCCCCCCCTTGTCTGTGCGGAGGTGGCCCACGCACGGCTGGGCTTCGTCCCCATTCCTCCCCGGGGAGCGGGGAGCCTCGCTGAGCGGCACCCCCGCCCCGCCGCGTCACCCGCGCACTCTGGGTGCCCGGCTCCCCTGGGGCAGGCCCCTGTCCTGGCCCGGCCAGGCCCCTGTCGGGTGTGGCCGGCGGACGTGGGGCCGGGCGGGGCCCGGGTCAGGCAGGACTCAGCGGCCTCGCCTTCGTCTGTCCCCTGCCACCCCCGGGGCGCCAGAACGCGCCACCCCGGACGCAGACCCTCTCGCCGGGGGGAAGGGGCCCCAGGACTCCGGGGCAGCAGGGCGCGTCCCCGTGCGAGGCCCGTGCTCCCGCCCTTGCTCGGCCGCTCCCGTTCCCGCCCTGACCGACCGGCCTGTGGGAGCCGGACACTCGGTCCTGGCGTGTGCTCCGAAGGCGGGTCACGCGGAGGACACGCGGGGAAGAGGGTGAGAGGCCGCAAAGGAATGTGGCAGCTCTGCCCCGGCCCCTCTGGGCCTCCGGGCCGCAGGCCCGCCCGACAGCTCTGGGTCGGCCTGTGCTCCGGGCGCCACCGGTGCTCTCGGGGACTCTGCCCCGGGCCCCGCACATTCCCCAGGTGCGTCTGCACCCCCGGAGGACAGGGCGCACAGGCCGCGCAGGAGAGGGGTGGCTCCTGCCCGGGGCCGCAGCTCACAGCCCCTGCAGGTGCCGGGCAGGAGGCAGGCGGTGCGTTCTCCGGTTGTTCCGAAATGCAGGCCGGTCGGGCCCTGCCCAGATCTGCTGGCAGGTGCCCAGGCCGACTGTCCTGCCACCCGGTGGGTGGATGGGTGGGTGTCCCAGGCCGCCGGTCCCCGCCTGTGCGTCTGTGTTCCCCCGACGCCCGTCCACGCCGGAGGCCTGGCTCCGGGACAGCGCCGGAGGCCCTGTGAAAGGGTGGTCAGAGCCGGGGACACGGTTGGGCCCTTCCATCTCCGTCCAGCTCTGCGGGCCTCTGTGGGCATCTGGCCCCCTGCCCAGGGGGCTCCAGGGGCTGCAGCCCCGTCTGCGGGGAGGACCCCGGGCTGCGGTCAGTCCCGAGAGGGCTGCTGGGGACAGAGCCCACCCTGGGCTGCCCCGGTCAGAGGGCAGTCCAAGGACGACGATGCCACGGGCTGGCTGTGGGGGTGGTCCTGGGGGTGGGGGGTGCTGGGGGGACCCATGGGCCCTGCCCTCTGCCCCTGGCTCTCAGGGGGCGGCAGTGAGGAGAGGGGTCTGGTGCAGGGCTGGGGGCTCTCTGCTGAGGGCGCGAGGACGGCGGGAGGACGGCGCAAGCCGAGGCTGTGAAACTGGCAGGGAGACGCCGGCCCGGGGCTCGGGGCCTGGCAGCAGCAGCTCAGAGGCGGCGTCGGAAGCACAGGCGGGAGAGGAAAGAGAGACAGATCGGATGCATTTGAAACTCTTGTGCATCGAAGGGTGGTGTCGGGGGATGGGAAGGCAGCCCTCAGGGCGGAAGGAAACATTTGAAAATCACGTATCCGACGTGAGAATTTGTGTGTCAAACACACAAAAGAACTCTCCTAAGTCAGCGACAGAAACCCAAACAGCCCCGTTCAAACGCGGGCCGAGGACCGGGGTGGACACTGCTCCACAGAGGACACGGGACTGGCCCCCACTCAGGACAAGGTGCACCCCAGCAGTGACCCCCCGGGAAACGAAGACCTCGTCCAGTGAGGCCGCCTCGCCTATCAGGGCGGCTGCCGTCCGCACCCCAGAAACTCTCAGGGCCCGCGGGGATGTGGGGACGCGGGGACCCTGCGCGCAGCGACGGGAATGGATAAGGGGGTGGCCACTGCGGACACCGGGAGGGAGGGCCCCGGAACTGAACCAGAACTGCCCGACGGCCCAGCACTTCCGCCCCGGGACGCAGACAGGGGGGCAGAGACCAGGGTCTGGGAGAGACACCCGCTCGCCCGCGCTCACAGCAGCATCGGAGACAACAGGGACAGCACGTGGGCTCCCAGTGTCCACAGACGGACGGATGGAGGGACGGACGGAGGGGCGGTGCGGTCCCTCCACACGGGGGAGCCTGCCTCGGCCTCAGAGGGGAAGGAGGCTCTGACGGAGGCTCCGACGTGGGTATCAGTGGGCCCTGGGGTCTCCGTGTTTCTGTGGCCGCTCAGCTCACTGGCCCTGTGTCCTCGCATGTGTGGGGGCCCCAGAGGGGTCAGGTTCGCAGAGACAGAGGCTGGGGCGGTGGGTGCCAGGGGCCGGGGGAGGGGCTGGGGGTGTGTTACTGGGGACAGGGCTTGGTTTCCGGGGGGAGAGCCCCGGAGACGGAGACGGGCAGCGATGTTGGCGGCGATGTTGGCGGTGATGCAGCGGCAATGACCTGAAGCCGCTGAGCTGTGCAGTTAAAAATGGACAGATGAGCCCTGGCTGGCGTAGCTCAGTGGATTGAGCGCGGGCTGCGAACCAAAGTGTCACAGGTTCGATTCCCAGTCAGGGCACATGCCTGGGTTGCAGGCCATGACCCCCAGCAACAGCACATGGATGTTTCTCTCTCTCTCTCTCCCTCCCTTCCCTCTCTAAAAAATAAATAAATAAAACCTTTAAAAAATGGACAGATGATACATTTTATTTGTCACAATAAAAAAAACAACGACCCTGTCCGCAGCACCTGGGCAGGTTCTTCTCCCACCCCCGGAAGCCGCAAAGGAGGCCTCGTGGGTCCCGGGGCCCAGAGGCCGGGTTGAGGGGGCTCCAGTCCAGCCCTACGGTGACCGACCCGCCCCTGGGCCTCAGAGCTGCTGCCTGTGTGGCCCCACTGAGGTCCCTTCCCCACACGACCCCTCCCCCAGCCCTGTGCCCAGGCCCTCGGGGCCCTCCTGTCCCCAGGGCCCCGTGCCCGCCCCTGTCCTGGGCTGGGGCCACCACTGGCCTCCTTCCCGCCTCAGAAATCTTCAGGCTCAGCGTCTGCCCCCCACTTGCTGTGCCACGGCAGGCACCTTCCAGACGACGACACTCCTCCTGGGGTGGCCCTGAGCGCCCACAGACGCCCGGGCGCCCCATCAGGTCCGCCCACACAGCCCCAGCCCAGCGCGACCACGCGCTTTCTGCAAGACAGCGTCTTCCCGCGTGGCCGGCCTCTCCCTCGCCCTGGGGGCTGGTCCCCCGCCAGCTCCCCCACACCCGGTCCTGCGTGTCCCCTGCCCGAAGGGGCCGGCTGACGGGCGCACCCGAGAGCTGGGTCCCCGCGGCGGCCTGCTGCTGCGTCACCTCGGGGGTCTCCCCCTCGGTCAGCACCCCCCCCGCCCCCCGTCACACCTCGCCTGGGGCCGAGACGCGGGGTTCTGGGTGGAAGGGCCCCCCCTCGCCAGCATGTCTGGGAAGCACTGTGCGTCGTCCGCACAGCCCGGCCTGGAGGCCGGGACTGGGCCAGGTGCGAGGCGGGAAATCTGTCTCTTGCCTGGCTGTGTCCTGGGCCCCCCGGTCAGGAGTGGACTCCCCGTCCTTGGAGGCATGGAACCAGAGACCCCTCACTGCGGCTGTAGCTCCTCAGAAGGGCGTCCAGGTTCCAGCGAGTGAGAGCCGTGGCCCTGGGTCCGTGCACGGCTCCCATTCAGGCACGCAGCTCCCCGGGGTGGCGGGCGGGGGGGGGGGCTGTGGGTGGCGTTGCCGGGTTAGCCCCCTCCATGGGACCCCCTCCACGTCTGCTGTTTGCAGAAGCGCCCGCAGGGGCACCTGACACACGGGGCCAGACCAGAGGAGCCCAGGGTCCCGGGGGCGGCTCCCACCTGCCGGTTGGGACTCGCAGGGCCCTGAGCACGGAGGCGGCTGGGCCGGGCAGGGTGCCCAGCGCAGGTGCTGGCGGGGAGAGCTCTCCTGCCCCGAGAGGCGGGGCCAAGGAGGCTTCCCGAGAGCCAGACTCCCTCCAGCTCCAGGCCCAGGTGGGTTCTCCTCTCAGGCTCGAGGCCGGGCAGGGTGGGGGGTGGGCACCCCGAGGGCACAGGGCTGGGGTGGGGCAGGGGAGCATGGACGCAGGCCTTGCAGCGGGGGCGGGGGGTGCGGGGTTCATACCTGGGCCTCAGTGGGCACCCAGTCTCCCAGCTTCCGAACGCGGGTGCAGGGTCTGTGGGGATGTTCAGGCTGCTACGGAGATGCGGCCCCCAGCCCTGGCCTGGGGCTGGCTGCTCCCGGGCTGTCTCGGAGACGGGCCGCTGGGAGGCGGTGGCCCCAGGGCGGCCCCCACACCCGGGGCCTCCCCCTTCAAGTCAGAGCAAGGGGATGCCGTGAGTCCAACCCCCAAACTGGCGGGGGACCCGATGGCACAGAGACCCTGAGGCTGCCGCCACTGGGACGCAGGTCAGCGGGGGGCAGGGGGGCGGGGACACCAGAAACAGGGCCCCACCCCCAGGGACAGCCGGGCGGGAGGGTGGGAGGCTCAGCTGCGTGCATCTTGATAGGAGAGGCAGGGCGGCGCGAGGGAGGCCCCCCACCCCGTGTAGCCGGGCCCCGCCCTGGCCCCTCCTGGCCCCCCCAGACATTCCCCATTGTTGGTGGCTGACTCACCCTCCCTTCAAAGGCTTGGGCCGAGTTCAGGTATTTAACCTGCCGCAGCTCAGCCGCTCCGGAGTTCTGCTCTGCAGGGACTGGGCGCCCCGCCTGCCCGCGGACTCGCCGCTCCTCTCCCGGGCAGGTGCCGCCTCCCCGCCGTCCGTCCGTCCGTCCGCCCGTCCGCCCGTCCTCACAGCCGGGCCCCCGGGGGCAGCGCCCCCCGCCCGGGCCCCGGCCATGGCCGTGCAGGTGCCCCTGTGGCACCACTACCTGCAGGCCATCCGCTCGCGGGCGGCGGCCCGGGCGCAGGACTACCAGCGCGCGGAGGACGTGCTGCTGACGGTGCTGGAGCGTGTGCACCGCCGGGACCCCCGCTTCCTGGTGGACTACTCCCGGGACCTGGAGGCCGCGCAGTTCGCCCTGCGCTCCTCCGACGGCCCCGTGGTCGTGGAGGTGCCCCTGAGGGTGGACGCCGGAGCCCTCCTGAGCGAGGAGCTGGGGGCCGCCGAGGCGGGCGGCGACGGCCCCGCGTCCTGCCGCCTGGGCGTCCCCAGGGGAGGGGCCGGCCTGGAGCCGTGGGTGACGGACGACGTCTTCACTGCCTCCTCCTCCTCGGACGGCAGCGCCCAGGGCTGCGGCCACATTGCGCCCGGCAAGGTCCTGCGCCTCCTCAGGGACCTGCTGGTGGCCGCCATCGTGCACTGCAGGCTGCATGGCCTCGTCGCGCCAGGTAGCAGAGGGACCGCTCTGTGCATGCGTGTGTGTGCGTGTGCGTGTGTGCACATGCGTGGGGTCGCTCCGCGTGGGGGTCGGGGACACGCGCTGTGGTCTGCGAGCACAGGTTCCGTGTCAGGTTTCCGAGGGGGTCGTTGGAGTGACGCTGTGACGCTGTCACTGTGTAAGCGGCTGGAGACCGTGACCCACGGGCTGCCGCTGGCTGGTCAGCTTCCCGAGGGTCCCTGAGCCGCTGGCGGTCAGTCCCAGCCAGGCTGACGGTCAGTCCCAGCCGGGCCGACGGTCCGTGCAGCCGTCTCCACTTCCAGCCTCCGGTCGAACCACGCCAGAGTGGGAGGGCTCTGAGTGCACGTGTGAGTGTGCACGCGTGTGAGTGTGCACGCGTGTGAGGGGGTGCACGGATGCGCACGGGTGTGCACAGGTCTGCTTCAGCCGTGGGCCCAGTTGCGGAGTGGCGTCTCGGGCCCCGATGGGCCCTGTGGCGGAGCCCTCCCGGGGAGCCAAGCATCGGGCCTCGGCCTCCAGAGCCTGCCCTCCCTCGCCCCCCCCCCCCGCCCCACCGTGAGGGGCTGCAAGGGCAGGCGCAGGACAGCGGGCCTGGGCGTCCGGGAAGGGCATCAGGTCGTCCTGGCAGGCAGTGGGGGGCTGAGGTGGAATGTCCTGCTCCCCTGGGAGGGCAGCGGTGTGTTGGGGGGGCCGCCGCCCGGCATCACTCTGGCCCCCACGTCTGCTGTGAGGTCGGCGCGTGGGGCGGTCAGCCACCTGGAGGACGGAGACCGGAGGACGGGCTGCCGGGCGTGGGGAGCCCGCTCTGGCCGCCATCCGGGCTCCTGCGGGTCCTGGGGGACCTTGGCCACCATGGCCCCCAGGCCAGCCTCCCTCCTGCGGGTCCTGGGGGAGGGCTCTTCCTCTCCATGGCGACGTGAAGGCTCAGAAGGCGGCCGGGCGTCTGGACAGATTGCAGCTCACGGGGGTGGCTCCCCAGCCCAGCGCTCCCCAGACCTGCCCGGCGACTGGGGGCGGGGGTGGTGACCGCCGTCTGGGGGTGAGAATGCTGCCCGCAGGGGGCGGCCGGGCCCATCATTGGGCCCCACAGACATCTGGTCTGGCCATCGCGGAGCCCTTTGACTGCCGCCGGGGGCTCTGGCGGGACCTCTTCTCCCCGAGGACGGCGCATGGTGACCTGTCACCCTCAGGCCCTGGTCCAGCCTGGGAGACGCACTCACCCGTCGGTGGGGCCCCAGGCTCCGCCCCACCCGGGCTCCTTCGGGGACTCGCTGGGCAGCCAGGCCCCTCCACACCTTCCCCAGGTCCCCCCCCGGCCGGCCCCCCCCCCGCACCCCCAGTCCCGGCTGAGAGGGCAGCCACAGGCAGGCTCTGGCCGCAGGGCACGCCGGGAGATTCCAGGCATTGCTTCCAGCTGCAGGTGACGAGTTCAGGCTGTCCCCCCACCCCCCCTGCAACCCTGGGAGCCCCTGGGAGCCCAGAGACCAGGCCGGACTGGTTTGGAGTGGCAGGGCAGGAGGCAGGTGTGGCTGGCCGCCTTCCAAGTCACCATTTCACGGAATGTGTGACCAGTGGTAGATAAGGAAATGGAGCCACCCGCGGCTTTGAGTGACAGGTGCCCCGGGAGGGGCCGGGGTCACTGCACCCTTCTCTTCCCTCAGAGGGAAGAGCGAGGCCCGTCCGGGGGATGGAGCGGGGGGCGGGGGGAGGGGGACACGGCCTGCCCAGGGCTGGGTCCCCGGGGGTGGCCCCTGAGCCGCCCTGCGGGGGACTGGGGGAGGGTGGGCAGACGGGGTGGGTTCCCCCTGCAGGGCCCCCGGCGCCGTGGACTGTCCGGGGTGGGCCGTGCGCCCTGCGGGGCGTGGGGAAGGGCGACTGAGGGAGAAGGTGGGGGGCCAGTGTCCCCACCTCCCCGCGGCCCCTCGGCCACCCCTTCCTGGGCATCCCTCGGCTGGGCCCCCCCAGGGCCTGAGTGGGGGGAGAGCGGGGAGCATTTCCCCCAGAAGGTTCTGTCCCCTCCCCTCCCCCAGGTGTGGAGTGGAATTCAGGGCGGCCTGGCTTGTCAGCCGCTCGAGCCGCGAACTCCCCCCCCACCCCGGCCCCAGCAGACTTGCCCTTGTGTCTGGGTCCCTTCTGGGGGGTGTGTCTCAGGTGGGGGTTCCCGGGCACCAGCCTGACCAGGGTGGGGAGTTCCCCGGAAGCTTCCAAGGAACAGGAAGGGAAGGGAGGGAGGGGGTGGGTGAGTCAGAAGCCCAGTCTCTGCCGCCCTCCTGGGCCCCGGAGGCTGCTCCCGGGGGCTGGCCCAGGGTCCCAGAGGCACCAGGCTGCCCGGCAGTGGGACCTGACCCCCGACCATGCTGGCTGAGCACGGTGACCCAGGAGCAAAGACTGTCTTCGGCAGGGGGGCTGCCAGAGCTTTCAGTGTCTGGGGGCGCATAGGCCCAAGATGGGGGTGCCGGCCACTGAACACACCCACCCAGAGTCATTTCCTGAATCCGAGGAGGCCCTGGGGGTGCCTGGACCCTGGGGTGCAGAGCGACAGACCAGCGGCTCGGAGACGAGTGTGGAGACCCCTCCTCACTTTCCCCTTCAAAAGAGGCGGGGCTCAGCATGGTCTGGGGGGCTCGGCCTCTTGCTGTGCAGGCCCTCAGGGCTGGGCAGGTGGGGCCTGGGGTCCAGCCGACCGACGGGGCAGCACCTGGGGCCACTGGCTGAGGGCCCCGCCCGGGGCAGAGCTGCTCCGTGTGGGCTGGCGGCCTCTCCTGGTGCGGTCTGGGCCGCCGCGGCTGCCTGTCCTGCAGCAGACAGGGCCGCAAGGGACATGGCCGCCGAGGGGGAACCGAGCTGGGGCTCGGGGGCCTGGGGAGGTGCCCTGGGGAGCACCTAGAGCAGGTGCCGCTGTCATTCGGGGGCTGTGAGCATCCTCGCTGCCTTGGTTGGTGGCCCCAGGCCAAACACCACGGACCGGGCGCTGGGACAGCCGTCCTCAGGCTGGAAGGCCAAGGCCAAGGGCAAGGCCAAGGTGTGGGCAGGGCAGGTTTCCCCTGAGGCCTCTCCCACGTCCCACACGGCCCTTCTCTGGGTGGGATTCCCGACGTCTCTCCCACAAGGGCCAGGCTTCTCCGACCAGCGCCCGCCCCGAGGCCCACTCCCACCTCCCCGCCGTTCCAGGGACCCGTCTCCAAACACGGCCACAGCCCGGGCTGCCGGGAGAGGGCTTCCACACGCCAGTCTGGGGGGCACGGCTCCGCCCAGAACGGTTTGCAGGCCCTGCGGGGCTGGCCGGCCCCCCGCAGGCTGCGGTTCCCGGTGGACGCTGGCGTCTGGGGGCGGGGCCTGCAGGTGTGGGCTGCGGTGGGCCCCAGAGGGCCGCGGTGCGGGTCCCCCGAGTCCTGGGGAGGCGGGGCCAGGCGCAGGTGAGAGCCGGAGGGCGGTCGTTGCAGGTGCCCTGAACGCGGACAGCCTGAGGGAGGAGGAGCTGCACCTGTCCCTGCTGGTGTCCGGCGGCTGGAGGGCCATCCGCTTCCACGTGCTGCCGGTGGTGCGGTGCAAGCACAGGGTGCCGGCCCTGGAGGGCGCCCTGAGGGTGCCCGGCTTCCCTGAAGGCAGCTTGAGACGGATCGTCGGCCAGGAGGTGGCCCTGGTGCCCGCCAGCGCCCAGCTCTGGAGGTAGGAGGCCCCTCCTGGGTCCGGGGGGCCGGCAGGAAGGGGGTCCCACCCCGGTGCTCCCTGCCCACCCCCGCCCCATGGGCATCTGTACCACCCAGAGGTTATGGGGTCTCAGGGGAGTGCGGGAGCCCCCTCAGAGCTTAGGGGAGCAGGCTGTGCGGAGGAACCCGAGAGCGTGGAAGGTCATGCCGGGTGGACCCTCTGCCCTGGCGCCGTGTGGGAAAGCAGCGAGGAGGACAGGCCCCCGGAGCAGCGGGGTGGGGGGTCGGGGTCCTGGCGAGACCAAGCAGCCCGGGGCTTCTCGTGCGTCTCCGTCGTCTCCACGGGGGCCACTCTTCCCAGCTCAGTGCTCCTCTAGGAGCCCCCTCCCCCAGGCCTCCGGCTGTGCTGTCCTGCACCCCCTCCCCCACCCCAGAAGCCCAGCGGCCTCTCCCGGGGTCCCCAGTCTCCACCCTCAGTCAGAGTGGCGTCTGCTGGGATGGGGGGGTGCTGTGGGAGGGAGGGAGGTGGGCACGGCTGTGGCTGAGCTCCCCCGCAGACCCTACCGATCCACACGCTTGAACGGCGGGTGGCTGTGGTTGGCCAGGCCACGCCTTACCCCGCTCAGGCCCGGGTGAAGCGCCCACCCAGAGTGGTTCTATGCCTGAGTCACCTCTCAGCGGCGGAGGACCCAGTAGAGTCTCTCGGGCCCCTCCTGCTGCTCAGATGGGCTCGGGGGGCCGCTCCCGGGCACTCGGTGCCCAGAGCAAGGGCTGCGTCCAGGCAGGCAGTGACCCCCAGCCCCTAAGAAAGGGCGAGAGCTGCGCTGAGTGGAGGCCTGTTCTGCGGTCAGCGGCCTTCCCGGGCCCTGGCGGCGCAGACGTGGTGGGCAGACGACGTCCGGCGTGGAGACTGCGCAGACAGTGGGGACCCTGAGGCGCCACCCCACCCGCCCCCAGCCGGCACCCACACCCGGCGAGCGGCTCTGCGGCGTGCCGCCCTGCGCCGTGGGCGCCACCGGGGGAAGATGCCCAGCCCTCTGCGGTCTGCAGCTGCAGGGGAGCCCAGTTTCCGCACTGGGGCGTGGAGGGCAGACGAGGGGCTCCACCCACACTCTGCCAGGGACCAGGGGCCTTGCCTGCCCCACCCTGGGCCAGGGAGAGGGGCGCCTTCCCATCCCCACAGGAGGCTTGGTGATCTGGAAGCTCCCATGTCCCCCGGCGCTCGGGGGCCTGGGTGTCTACGTGACACCCAGGCATGTCACGGGCACAGCCCTTTGCGCAGGTCCTAAAACGCGCGTGCAGCCCGGCTGGGTGCAGTCCGGCTGCCCTGGGCCGACCCCTGCGGCTCCGGAGGGTCCCGCCTCAGGGAGGGGCTTCCTCTCCTGGGACGGGGACGGGCCGTGCGGGCGGGTGCTGGCACGGCTGGCCGGCCGGGGCCCGATGCCGACCCAGGGGTGTGTCCGCCCGGCCTCCCAGGGTCTCCACGGACTACCTGCTCACCAGGCTGCTGGGCGCGCTGGGCACCCTGCCGGGCCATCGCCTGGACAGCCTCTCCATCCTCGACCGGGTCAACCAGGAGAGCTGGCGTGACGGCGGCCGGAGCCCGGGCCTGACCTTCGGCCACCTGAAGGTACGTGGGGGGCCCAGCGAGCCTGCCGCCTCGCCGCTCAGCCTGCGTCTGTCGCCAGGGGGCCGGGGAGGGGCCCCAGCTCGGACCCTTGTGCGGGCTCCGGCCAGTGGACGGCCCGGAGCGCGCTCCAGGTCAGCGGATCCCGCGGCCTCGCCCGGCTTCCCGGGGAGCGAGGCCCAGGCTCTCTGGCACGTGCGGCTGACCAGTGTGGTGGCACCTGGACCTGCCCTAGCGGCCCCTGGACTGTCTGGCCCATGGGCTCTCGCTGCAGCTGGACCCTGGGGCTGGGCAGCACACAGCTGCTGCTCCCAGCAGCCCGTGTGGCCGGCCCTGGGCGGCCCCTCCGTCCCAGCGCCCCACTCTGGCCTGCGGTCTGTGACTGTCGCCAGTCCTGGACCCCCTTCTCAGCGGGGTCCCGGCCTCTGGGGGGTGCTGGAACCGTGTCCCCCTCGGGCTGGGGAAGAATGGTGCTGGGAAGAGCGGCGCGGGGCCCCCGGGGCGGCGCGGGCAAGCAGGGGTGTCCTCGGAGTGCTGCCCTCACCACAGTGGGGGCTTCAGGGGGACCTGACTCAACCTGGTGCAAAAGCCGGCTCTGCCGGGGCCCCCCGTGCGACCTCAGGCCACTCGCTGCCCCGCTCAGGGCCCCGCCTCACCCCTGAGGGGGTGCCAGCCTCTGAGGGGCCCCTTGGGGTCTGCCCCCTGGTGGCCCCTGTGCTGACTTAGGGGTGATGCGGGTCGGCAGAGGGAGAGGGGTTCCTGGCTGGGGGACTCAGGGCCAAGGCGGGAGAGGGTGGCCGGGGCAGCCAGGCGGGTCCGGCTGTGACCCTGAGACACACTCGGACCCCGTGTGCTGGGCACACAGGTGGGTCAGTGGGTGGGGGTGAGGGAGGGGGGCCCCGAGGATGTACAGGAAGCTCCGGTGCCCTGGGAAGGACCCTGGCGGCCTGGTGGCCGGGGTGGGGATGCCGCGGGGGGAGGTCTGGTGGGGTCCTGCTCAGCGGCAGCGCCCCCTCGGGAGTCACGGGAGGTGCCTGGGTGGGGGCCGCAGGTGTCGAGGGCCCGGGACCTGCACTGGGACACCCGGGTGGGTACAAAGAGCGGGAAAGGCCTGTGGGCAGGGGCTTCCGGGGGGGAGCCGGGGGGGCTGGTGGGCCTGGTTGTTCACCCGGCCCCCTCCCCAGGCAACAGCCCCCCCCCCGCCCCCCCCACAGACGGTGCTGCTCTGGGCCTCGGCGCTCTTCCCGGCGCCCGAGGACTGGGCGGAGCTGCAGGGCGCCGTCTACCGGCTGCTGGTGGTGCTGCTGTGCTGCCTGGCCACGCAGAAGCTGCCCCACTTCCTGCATCCCGAGCGCAACCTGCTGCGCGGCGCCGGCCTCGACCTGGGCGCCCTCTACCAGCGCGTGGAGCGCTTCGCCAGCCAGCCCGAGGCCTCCCTGCGCATCCACGCCACCCACCTGGGCCCCAGCCCGCCGCCCCGCATCGACCACGGGGTCAAGGCGCTGCTGCAGCTGCCCGCCAGCGACCCCTCCTACTGGGCCACCGCCTACTTCGACGTCCTGCTGGACAAGGTGGGCGCGGGGTCCCGTGCGGTGGGGGCAGAGCCCCGGCCCGCCCCACTCCCTCCCCGTCCAAGGGCAGGCGCTTGAGTCGGGCTGGGTCAGGCCAGGCCTCTGGACAGTGTCTCGGGGACATTGAGGGTGAGGCAGGCCACGACTGCCCCCTGCCCACCAGGGGGCCCCACAGGCCCAGGGCCGCTGGCCGGGAACCAGGGCAGCAGCCTGTCCAGGCCTGTCCCCACCACCCCGGAGCCTCCCCAGACCCTCGGCGAGGGGCGAGGGGCCCCAGCCCCACCCCGGGTCCGCTCCTCGTGCAGGAGCGTGGCCCCCGCAGCCTCACCGCAGGTCTCTGCCTCGTCCCTGCACCCAGAGTCCCCTGCCACGTCCCCGGGCATTTGGGGGGGCCTGGCCGGCCCCCAGCTGCCCCAAGGTTCCACCAGCTCTGCTGGTCCTCCGTCCCCCCACCCCCAGAGGGGCCCCTCCTGCTCCTCCCCGAGGGCCACCCACCCTCACCCCAAGGAGCCAACATGTGTCCCCTCTTGGGCGCACTTGGGGGTGCGGGGTGAGGTGTGACCCACCTTTGGCCCTCAACAAGCACCTGGCCGGGCTTCCTCCGTGTCAGGCCCGTCCGGGGACACCTGCTCGTGAGGAAGGCTGGGGGGAGGGGCCCTCCAGGAGGAGACCCAGAGGCGGGAGGGCCCAGCGGCCAGGGAGCCGAGGCTGGTCCGCGCGGTGCCCGCGGCCCTGGGACGGACAGACCCCCGGGCGTCCCTGTGACCCTCCGCCCCGCTCGCAGTTCCAGGTCTTCCACATCCAGGACCAGGACCGGGTCGCGGCCATGCAGAGCATCTTCCGGAAGACCAAGACGGTGGGCGGCGAGGCCAGCTGAGCGGGCCCCGGGCTCGGCCGCAGCCACGGTGCCCTGCCGAGGCTCCCAGCACGCCGGCGGGGGCTTCCCTGGGGTGGGCGGTGGCGGACGAGGAGCAGACAGTCCCTGGGCCTGAGAGTGCGGACAGTGGCCTCCGGGGGCAGCTGCCTGTGTCCAGGGGCGAGGCCCGGGGGAGGGGTTTCCTGTGACCCGCGTCTGTCCATCCTGTGTGAGGTTGTCTAGATGCTGAAAACGGGGTGTGCGCCGGAGGCGGGGACCTGAGGGCTCGTCGGACCCGGGTCCAAGGGCCGCCCCGAGAGCCGGAGCACCATGTGCCTGACCTTGAATAAACAAGTGCACCTCCGAGGGGTGGCAGATGTCCTTGACCCCCGCCCCAGCTTCCGCCAAGACCCAGGACGGGGCCGGGCGGCCTCCGGGGCGAGTGGAGACGGCACCACCTGCTGGGGGGGGCGCGTCGGTGCCTGGGGGGCTCGGAGGCTGTTAGTTCTGAGCGGGCCAAAGCTCAGGTGGGCCGCCCAGCAGGCCCGGGGGCTGGGGTCCCGTGGCGGGGGGCGGAATGGGCACCACATGGGGTTTCTCTGGAAAACTCTGACGTGGCTCCATTCCCACCAAAGTCCAGCACGCTCGAGACAGGACGATTCGAGAATTCACAGGGGAATTCAAAGGCTCTCGGGCAGGGAACCCAGTTTCCAGAGAGCAAAGCTGGAGGGCGTGCGCCCCCTGGTCCCAGAGCCGCGGGGAAGCTGCAGCGACTGGGAGGGAGTGGCCCCAGGACACGGCCGGGCGGGGGCCGGAGGCAGAGGGGCCCAGCCCCTGAGGGGGGGGGAGGGGAGTCTGTGTAAGGGGCATGGCTCCAACGACTGGGGGTCGGGGTGGATGAAATCGTGCTCCGGCCCTGACCGCACTCCACGCGAGAGACTGCTGCAGCGCGGAGCACCCACCACCCCGAGACAGCTGGGGCCACACCTTCGGCAAGGAAAGGGGAAGGTGTCTTGGGACCACAGAGTGGGTGGGCGTTTCCCAGGCAGGACGCCAATGGGGCAGGCCCCGAAAGGAAGCACGCACACAGGTAGGGCTGCGTCCAAACTCAGAACACCTGCTCTTCGAAAGATTTGATTCAGAAAATGGATGAGCCCCCGCTGGCGTGGCTCAGTGGATTGAGCGCCAGCCTGCGAACCAAAGGATCGTGGGTTCGATTCCCAGTCAGGGCACAGGCCTGGGTTGCGGGCCAGGTCCCCAGTGCGGGGAGTGCGAGAGGCACCCACACATTGGCGTTTCTCTCTCTCTCTTTCTCCTTCCCTTCCCGTCTAAAAATAAATGAATAAAATCTTAAAAAAGAAAAGAAGCAAATGGATGTAGGTCAGCCGCAGAACAGGGGAAAACGCTCCTGACCGCCTCTGACAGTCCCCGGCCCCCAGCCGCAGGTCGGCACCAGGAAGACGGAGTCGAATAATGCACGTAGGGCGCTCGGGCTGACTCCCCTCAGAGGGGGGACGCCCGCAGGGAAGCCCCAGGCCGCCACCCCTCAGGGGAAGGAGGGGCTGAGTGACGGTGAGGAGGCGGGGCCCCAGCCCCCAGACTCCGGCGAGGACGTGCAGTGCGGCAGCCGCCCCTGGATCCTCCTGCCAGGCCTCCCAGCCTCCGACCTGCCTCAGCCCGGGTGGGACCCCGCGGTTCCCCTCTCGGTGCCCCCAGGAGAGATGAGTGGCTGCTGCCCACAGGAAGCCCGTCTAAGAACGCGCGTCACCGGGTCACACGTGGTGGCCCCCGGGGGACATCACCCCGAGGTCCGTCCACAGCGGGCGGGTGAATGAACACTCAGACGGTGGCGTGCCCCTGCACTGGGACAGCCCCCGGCGGCAGACACACATGCCACGTTCCGGCAGCGACAAGGGGCCGAGTGAGGAAGGGGCGCGCCAGAGGGAGGGCTGTGTGTGCGCCCGTGAACGCGGACCCGTCGTTGCAGAGCCCAGCGGTGGCCGTGCACATCGGACGGGGCCTGACTTGGGGGGGGGCGCCGGGGGCCTGCCAGTGGGTGGTCTCGGTACTGAGTTTCCAGTGTCTGCCTCTGGGGGACCCTGCCCCGACGGGGCTGCTCTCAGCACAAAGGCCAGCGTCTTGGAGGCGACCCACGGGCCCTGCACATTCAGGTCCCCAGACTCTCTGGCCTCCCCTGGGAGAGCCGCACCCCCCCCTTGCCTCAGACTCCAGACCCTCTGGCCCTCCGAGGTCCTGCGCTCAGTGCCTGTCTCCCCGGTGGCCGTGAGCAGCAGCGTGGGGTGGACGGCCTCCAGTCCACCCTGTGCTCCATGCTCCAGCCATGCTGGGTGAGTGACGGCAGAGCCGGACCGACCCTTCCATCCACACAGACACGGGGCTGCGGCTGGCTGGGCACCCACCCTGCCGGCCTTCCCCTGGGGGGCCTCAGGCCGGGGGAGCACCTGCAGATGTGGGCGTGGTCCAGGGAAGGCCGGCCGGGTCTGCAGATCCAACCCCCCGGGGAGGCGCTGAGGAGGCTCGGGCGGGGATCCGAGGGAGGGGTGGAGTTGAGGGGTAGGGGTCAGAGGGCTCCCAGCTGAGGAGGGGGAAGCGGCTGGGGCCCCAGGGGGTCACCAGGCGCAGGTCCTTCCCTGCCCCCATCCACAGGACTCGGCCACAGCCGGGCCTGGGGCTGTGGGTTCCCCGGGAGGCAAGGTCTGGGGCTCTGCACGCCCGTCTGCCGGCCCCCAGCGAGGAGCAGCAAAGCTCCTGCAGCTCCCACGGCCCAGGCCCAGGGGGTGTGGAACTGCCTTCCTGCCCGGCCCTCCCGCGGCCCAGCCACACATGGAGAGGACAGACAGACGGACTGCCCGCCTGCTCTTTATTGAATGTTCCCGGGGGGCCAGGCCCTGGGGCTGCAGGTCACTGGGGAGGAATGTGGGTCCCGGGCCCCGAGGGCCGTTTCCAGGGAGTTCCACCGGGAAGGAAAGGGCCCCGGAGGCTGGCAGCGGCCTGCCGGTCTCGCAGACCCCGTTTGGGCCCCCAGCCCCCACGTGGGGGGGGGGCCTGGCCAGGCGGCTGGCTCACAACTGGCTCCGGGGGCACCGCTGCAGCGCCTCCTTCAGGGCCTCGGTCACCCGGTCCACGTTCTCCCGGGTGGCGTTGCAGCCCAGGAGCCCGATGCGCAGCACCTGTGGGTGGGCGGGGGGCGGGGGGGTGGTGTCGGCCTCCGTCCAGGACCCCGCCTGGCCCTGGCCGAGGTCTGGGCAGAGCCGGGTGGGCTTCCCCACGAGGGGACCCCCGCCAGGGCACACGGGGCAGGCAGGCGGGAGCTTCCTGCAGCCACCAGGGAGCCCCGGGCCCAGGCCAGGCCGCAGAGCTCGGGGAGGGCAGCCGGGGCGGCCGTCCGCCAAGGCCACTCGGAGTCGCCCTCTCAGTGGGCACAGCTGGGCTCCTGCCTGGTGGGCCACACGGGGGGAGGAAGGGCATTCCGGGTGGGGTCGGGGGTCTGCGCCTGCCTGGCTGCCCCTGCACAGACCCCTGGGGTCCGGAGAGGGACGTCCCCTCCTGACACCCCTGCCGGCCCAGCTCCGGGACGACCGCCGACCTCGGCCTGGACACAGCTGTGCTCCACGTGGGGGCAACCAGCTTCTGGGGCCCGTGCGGCCACCCCCTCACCTTCCCCAGGGAGGGCCCGAGGCCTCCGGTGATCTCGATGGAGAAGTGGTCTATGAGGTAGTTGACGATGTCTCTCCAGTTGTAGCCGGCAGGCACGGCCACCGTGGTGACGGTGGGCAGCCTCAGCGCCTGCGGGACAGGCCGGCTCAGCACCAGCCCCACAGCCCCGGGGCTTCAGAGGGGCGACAGGTGGGGCTGGGGGGCTCGGGGCTGAGGAAGGGCCTGAGGACAGCCAGGTCCCACTCCCGCTCCGCCCCTGCCGCCCCCTGGACGTACAGGGTCCTTCACGAAGAGCTGCAGGCCCAGCTCCTGCAGGCGCTCCTGCAGGTAGGAGGTGACCTCCCGGTGGCGCCGCCAGCTGTTCTCCAGGCCCTGCTCGGGGAGAGGCACCAGTGGGCGGGGGTCCGGGGGCAGGGAGCTGGTGTGCACCCCCGGGGGCAGCCCCTCGAGAGCCCCCATGAGCCCCCCGCCCCGGGTTTGAGACCGTGGTGGCTCTGGCCCAGGGGCTACCTCGGGGCAGGTGGAAATGGTCTGGGCGAGGGGTGGGCCCAGCCAGCGCTGGGGCCCTGGGGAGGGGAGGGCAGAGCTGGCCGGGGCAGGGCGGGGACTTTCTGGGGCACATGCGTCGCCTCCTTCTTCCCACACTGACCCCACAGCCCCATGGGAGTTCACCCTCCTCCCGCCCTGCCCAGCTCACACCCCGCCCACCGTGGGAGCCACCCCTGGGAGCGCACAACCCAGCTGGGTGCTGGTGGCCGCCAGCTCTGTCCTGGGGCGGTGACTTATGAGTAAGCACGGCGTGGGGGACAGCGCGGCCAGCGGAGCTCCTGGCCGCTCGCCCCGGCCGCCCTCAGCCCTGTCTCCGCAGCCTGGGGGCTGGGGGCTGGCCGTGGCCCCAGGCGGTCGGGACAGCGAAGGTGGCTGTGCCGCGCCCTGTGTGCTGTCCTGAACCCGCTGCCGCAGAGCCGGCGCGGCCTGTGTGGGTGGGGCTCCTGGCACCGTCTCTGCCGGGCCCCAGCCCCCACCTGGGAGCAGGGAGGTGCCCAGGCTGCTGAACTTTGGTTATTGTAACTCACAACCCGGCTGCTGGCCTCGCTCCCGGGCCCCTCCTGCCGGCGGGGTCCTCTCGGACTGCCTCCCCCAGCACACACCGGCTCTGCCCCCGCCACCCTCGGTCCCGGCCAGCACGCCCAGGCCTCACCTCCTCCGCGATGAGTGCCAGGCTCTCTCTCAGGCCGAACAAGCTGATGACGGGGGTGGTGTGGTGGTATCTGGAAGACAGGACCGGGCGCGGTCCGGGTCACTGGGTGGGGACGGGCGGGTCAGGCTCCGGGAGGACCGGTCAGCTCCCTTCCCAGGGGAGCACTCCAGGCCGGGATCACGGACTCGGAGCTGGAAGGGCGGCCAGGTCTGCAGGAGCGGGGCTCGGAGGGGGTGCTGCCCGCACCCCACGGGCTGCTTGCCCGGCTGGCTCCCACCCCCCGCCCGGCCCACTGGGTGGGGCGCGGTGCCTGGTGCTCCTGTCCCCGTGGGTGGCATGGGGCGCCTTGGGTTACGGCCGGAGCCCCCTCACAGACAGCCCCTGGTTTGCCCACTTCTTCTGAGATGTGGGTCAGCTGAGGCCTGGAGATGGGGAAGGGTGGTCCAGTGCAAACGTCCGGTGCTGGGATTTCTGGGGGGACGGGGCCCTGGGAAAGGGCGGAGGCCGTGCCTCAGGCCCCGAGCCCCCAGGCCGGGGGCAAGTGGGGAGCCAGGTGGGGGCCCGGACGGGGCCTCGGGACCCAGCGAGCAATCCTGATGCGGGCTGGGGCCCTGGGAGGACGGCCCCGCACCCCTCTGCCCACCAGCCCGCCCGCCCCCGCCCGCCCCCGCCCGCCCCTCACGTCCTGGGCTTGTCGTCGTCACAGCTCCAGAAGTTGGCCAGCAGCTTGATGTCCAGGTAGAAGGAGTAGGGCTTCGTCTTCCGGGAGTAGATCTTATCTCTGGGGGGGGGGGAGCCGGCCTGAGCACCTGCCTGTCCGGCTGCAGAGTCTGGGTGGCCATCCCCCCCCACCCAGGGGCCCTTGTCTCTCAGAAGTGGGGACCCCGGGACAGGCCCAGGTGGGCTGTGCGCCCCTCGGGCAGCCCAGCCTTGCTGACCCCTGGGCTTGGCCAGTGCCTCTGCCACTTGGGCGCGACCCTGCTACGTGGAGGCCGGGCCTGGCCCCCTCTCCCGGCCCCGCCCCGGGAGTCGTCCGGCCATGGTCCCCGAGTCGGAGGCCAGTGGAAGATGGTCATCGCTGAGGGCAGGAGGGACAGCTGCTGCGCTGTCCAGTCCAAACACACCAAAACCACAAAGGGGAAATGGAGGCCGGGTCCCCTTCTCCCGGAGCCTGCACACCCTGGGGCGTGATCTGTGACGCTGGGTGTCACGGAGGGGCCTCTAGGTGGCAGCCCCCTCCCCAGGCCAGCCCAGCTGCCCCTCCAGGTCACTCAGACTCGGAATCCCCGATTCCACCCCACGCGGCCTCTGTCCTGGCGAATGGCACCCACCAGCACCCGCTCACGGGCTGCTGGGGCTGGTTCCCCTCCCCCAGCCCACCCTGGCTCCCAGACGCTGAGCCCGGGCTGGCGGCAGCAGGGGGCGGGGCAGCCTTGGGCCCCAGCCCTTGGCCTGGAGCCGGGGATTCCTGGAAATCCAGTCCCTGCCTCCCACACCAAGCCCAGGCTCCCCGGGGGAGTCTCCGGGAGGCGGGCTGGCCAGGCCATTGCCCCACGTGCGTGCGTGGCCCTCACCGTGCCCAGCCGCCCGGTCCCTGGGACCTGGAGCTGTGTCACACCTGTGAGGGTGGGGAGGGGGCAGGGGCACCTGTCAGGGTCCGTGACAAGCTTTCTAGGGGCATCTCGGAGCCCGTCCGCGGCGCCATGCCCTCCCCGGCCGTCCCTCCCTCCGGGGGCCCCCAGGCCCCCAGCACGTGCAGCCCCAGCCCCTCACCTGGCCTTGTCGCTGAAGGAGATGAGCGCCGTGCCTGGGGGGGCGTTCAGGACCTTCTGGGAGCCCGAGTACAGGACGTCAATGCCTGTGGGGGTGGCTCGCAGGGTGAGCCCCCAGGCGGGGTCCCTCCGGCGGGGGTGCCCCCGGAGCTCAGGGCCCACCGTCCTGGGGGAGCCGGGGACCCACCGTGCCGCCGGTGTCGGCAGTGAGGGGGCATTCCCACAGGGCCAGGCCCTGCCCCGTGGGGGGGACGCTGACCCCGGGGCAGGCGCGGCGTGTCGTGGGCAACGGCGAGGGTCTGGGTAGGGTGGGGGGGGGGCCGTGCACCGTGCCAGAGTGTGTCTGTGGGAGGGGCAGGCCAGGGAGGCGGGGGCAGGCTGGTCTGCTCGCACCTGGGAGCCCGAGCCCCTGGTCGGTCACAAAACACCTACAGCCCCACCCCCACCCCGAGGGCCCCGTGGTTCCGGGCCGTGGGGAAGACAGCCGAGCAAGCCCGGGCTGCGGCCACCTTCCGATCTCCTAGGTGGGGCCCCCGGGGGGCGGCCTCGAGTGAGCGCCCACAGGCTTGGGCAGGACCACCCTCCCAGCTCTGCCCTGACAGCCTCACGCCTGGAAGAGCCCCAAAGTCCACCAAGGGGTGGGGGGCAGTGTGGTGAGCTCGTGTGATCTCGCGCGGTGAGGGCGGGCGCGGCGGGGTGCCCTGGGCCGGAGGGGTGCCACACTGTCTGCGGGGCCTGCGCTCCAGGGTCTGGGGCTGGAGCCTCAGCCCGGCCTCTCACTCCCCGGCGGTGGGCGGCCAGCCTGAGAGGTGCGGTGTGAAGTCTTGGGGACGCCCTGACGCCCTGCGCTGATCCCCGCCCGTGCAGAGCAGTGGTGTGAGTGTCGGCCCGGGAAGCCCCTTCCGTGGTCCCAGGAGGGTCTCCTGCAAGGCCACCTGACCGTGGAGCTCACTGGGTGCGACAGGCTGGTGGGGGGTCAGGGCAGATGGGGGCATGGAGGCCCAGCCGCGACCAGAGGCATCACGGCCCTCGGCCCTGCCCCCCTTGCTGCACCTGCAGGGGCTCTGAGAGCACGCTGACCCGGAGAAGCTCCACCCGCCCCCCACCTCGGCGCCTGGCCACCCAGCAGAGGCCCTGGGTGCTGATGAGTCCAGGGGGCCCTCACCTTGCTGGTCCATGTGGATGGGGACCCCGCCCAGGGAGGCCACGCTGTCCACCAGGAGCAGGCACTGGTACCTGGGGGAAGGGCCGTCCAGTGAGGCAGGTGGGGCTGCAGCCCCAGGGTCCCCCCACACAGGGGGACTCTGAGGGCTCAGGCCCAAGGGTGTCAATGGGCCCAATGGGCCCTGGCCACTCAGTGCCAGCTGGGCCCCCTCCTGCAGCAGCCGGCTGACCATAATGTCAGAGGCCAGATGGCAGAGTCCAGGAACAGCGGTAGCCAAAGCCTGGCCCCGGCCTCCACGTTTTCTTAGAAAAAGGCAGAGCTGGCACGGAGGGACAGGTGGAACCCTCAGGGTCACAGCCCGGGTCACAGCCCAGGTCACAATAGTAAGCTTGAGTCGCTGGACAGGACTCGGGGGGCAGGTGGGCTGGGATCCCCGTGGAGGAGCCTGCCTGGCCATGAGGGGCTCATCCTTGCAGCCTGTGGCCAGCTCTGCAGGGCAGGACAGCTGGCCATGGGGTGGGGGAGCCCCTGGCTCCTCCAAGGCCCCGTGCGCCCGTGCGGGGGTGGGGAGGCCGGTGGAGGGCGTGGACGGTCGAGGCTGCCCTGGGGCTCTGGGATCTCAGGCGAGGGGGGGCAGGGTCCCCTGAGCCCTGGGAGCTGGGGAGCTGGGTCAGCCTCAAACCCTCCCAGCCACGGAACCTGGAGGGCAGTGAGTACGGTGTGGGCACCTGGCCATGGAGAGACCCCCATCCTGCTCTCAGGAGCGGGGGGCCCACCGCACTCAGCAAAGAACAAGGACAACCCCGAGGGCTGCCTGCACCCCAACACCCCGTGATAGACGCTGGGTGGGGGCAGCAAAGGACTCGGCCCACCAGCTACCACCCAGGCCGCAGGGACCTGCCAGCACCGCACCCACCCAACCTGGGCCCTGCCCCCCGCACGGCTCCCCTGTGGGGATGGGCTCCCCCGTGGGGGCGGGCTCACCTGTGGCACAGCTCCCCGTACCCCTCGAGAGGCTGCAGGATGCCGCTGGAGGACTCCCCCTGGGTCAGAAAGAGCACCGCCGGCTTGTGCCGGGCCAGGCCCTGAGGGGAACAGAGGGACAGCTGTGGAGGGAGAGGCCCCCCCCGCCAGCCAGGGCCCACGGAAGGACTTTCCTGGTGGGGGCAGGGCAGGCTCTGCCCCCCGAACATGCCCTCCCTCCCGGGGTGGGGGCGGCCCCCCATCTGTGCGCGGGAGCCGGTGACTTCAGGCGGGTTGGTGACTTCAGCAGGAGGGCTCACTCTGGAAGAGAGGGACTTCCTCCCAGAGACCAGGGACAGGGGCCTCTGCCTCCCGCCCCACCCGTGGGGACACTGGGACCTCCCTGAGGGCAGCCGGGTCCCCAGGGTCTGGGCTGGCCAGGACGGACCCCTATCAGGGAGGGGCCCACACCCAGCGAGTTGGGGCAGGTCCTGCTCCCCACCTCACGCCTCCAGCCCCTCCGGCCCTGCGCACAGGGCTGGGCTCCTGACTCAGTTTCCCTGCCAGGCAGAACCCCGCCCCCCCTTCAGGCTTGCCACCTGCTCCCAGGCACCAGAGTGCTCTCCCTGTGGGGGGTCACTTGGCACAGAAGCCACCGCGCGCAGCCCCCCAGCCCCAAGCCCACCCGGCTGGCCAGCGCCCCTCTGTTCCCCATGGCTGGCAACACCCCGCACCTCCTCCACCTCCTGCAGCGTGTAGTGGCCTCCGGGGTCCTTGGTCATCGGGTGAGTGCGGGCTCCTGGGGGCAGGGCCAGTGTGAGCTGTGAGCCTCTCCTGACCCAGCACACGGGGCAGGAGCCACGGTGAGGGACAGGGGCCACCGAGAGGGACAGGGGTGTGCTGAGCAGGCCGCCCAGCCGCGGCCCCGGCCACACGGGAGAGGGGAGTGGGGTGTGCTCAGGCCAAGAGTGGCGTCCGGCCCAGCTGCCCGCCCCTTCCTCGGGCCGCCTTCCCCGAGCCCCGTGGCCGGGCTTCCGGGGCACGGGAGAGAAACTTGAGTTTGCTGAAGGCCGTGTGGACGGGGCCTCCCCAGCGAGCGAGGGGAGAGGGAAGGAAGGGGTGGAGGAGGGGCGAGCCCCGGAGCTGTGTGTGGGAGACCCCGCGGCCCCAGGACCATCTGAACCTCGGGGCAGAGCCTGAGGCTGGGTGGGGGTGGGGAAGGGCAGGGGCCTGTCCAGGCTGAGCCGGGGGCAGTCAGAGCCCCCTGGGGTCCTGGCCTCCGCCCCCTCAGTTTGGGGGTGAAAGGGCACTGGGTGAGGGGTCGGAGCCCCCGCAGCTGTCCGAAGTTGTCCATTAACTGGACGGCGCGGACACCTGTGGCGCTGGATGCAGGGTCAATCATTAAACTCGGGGCTCGCTGCTGCCCCCGAGTCCCGTCTCCCCACGGTTTGCTCTGGAAGCGAACCCTGTCCATTCCTCCGTGCTCGGCGGCTCCGGAGGACGTCTGTTTCTGGGATTTCTGAGGGGGACTTCCACCTCCAAAACCCCATCCTATGGCACCTCGGGGCAGAGCGGCCGGAAGGTGGGGGGCCAGAGGGCCGGGGAGGGCCGGGCCGTGCTGCCCTGCCCGAGGAGGGGATGGGAAGGCTGGCGCGGCGGGCACACCCCACCCCCGCCCCAGCCCTTACCCACGCGCTCCCCGATCTCGGCGGCCCGCTGGCCCCAGATGCCGTTGACCCCGACCAGGAAGGAGTCCCCGGGCTCCAGGAGGTTGAACAGGGCGGCCTCCAGGGCGGAGTGCCCCGAGCCGCTGATGGCAAGTGTGAGGCGGTTCCTGGTCTGGAACACGTACTGGATGCCTTGCTTGATCTCGTCCATTATCTGCGGGCGGTGGGTGTGCGGGTCAGGGCCTGCCCCCAGCTCCTGTCCCCCCGCCGGGAGGGGCCGGCAGGGGCGGCCGCCGCCCCCAGCCCACCTGGTACATCTCCTTGTGCATGTGGCCGATCATCTGCAGCCCGCCGGCCGCCAGGACGCGCGGAGCCAGGTTGGAGGGGCCGGGCCCCAGCAGCAGCCGGTGGGGCACAGAGATGGGCTTCAGCAGGACCTCCGGGGGGGCCACCAGCAGTGGGTGTGAGGCCATGGTCCGCACCCAGCCCGCTGCCCGGGACCCCAGGGCCGCCCTGGCCGAGGTCAGAGCGCGGAGCATCTCCCAGCGGCCCCTCGCTGGACGGCGGTTGCAGGTGGTGTTGAGAGCTGCCTGCCTGGGGCTGTGACCCAGCCCCTCGCCGGTGCTCACCCCTGGAGTCGGCACCTGACACCCCGGGCGTTGAACCCTCCTGGGGGGAGGAGCTTCGGAGAGCAGCCAATGCAGAGCAGAGCCGGGGCAGCCTCCCCGCCGGCCCCCTCCTGCAGGCTCTGCTCAGGGGTCCTGGGAGGATGGCTGGGCTCCTGACTCAGTTTCCCTGCCAGCCAGAGCCCTCCCAGTGCTCGTGCAGGGCTCTGGGGGCCCCAGCGTTTTTCTTAAAGGACGAGAGAGCCAATATGTCGGGCTTGGCAGGCCTCCCAGTCTGTGTCCCAGCCAGGGTGCTGTGGAGCAGCAGCAGCCGCCAGACTGGTGCAGCTGTGTGCAGATAAAACTGTGTTTACAAAGCAAGCCGCGGGCCAGATCGGTCCAGACACACGTGCACACACACTGAGGACACTGTCATCCCCGAGCCTCCTGGAAACAAGTACACCCCCCGCCCCTCGGAGCCTGGAGGTCCTCGGGTTCACACTTGCACGTCTAACCAGTGCACGTGCAGGGGAGCCCCCTCTGCTTGCCGAGTCGGCGGGTGGGCAGAATAAGTGGGGGTCCAGGGTCCCTGCAGGGGGAGGAGCCAGGCCCGGGGCGCGGCCCCCCAGCACAGCCGGCTGCCGTCTGGGGAAGCCAGAGAGGCCCCCGGTGAAGGAGACCGTGGGTGCCCTGCGTTCCCAGGGTGCCTGGGTCGGGGGGCCAGGACTTCCTGCCTGGGTGGGGGGCTGACACCCTGGGCCACAGTCGCCAGGGGAGCGGCGGGGCTGCGGCAAGTGACCAGGGAGGGAGCGCCGCCCCCTCAGGCCCAGCAGGAGGCATCCCCCTGGGGACTCGCTCCTGAGCCCGGCAGGGCCCCTCCATCGAGCTCTTGTCACCGGGGCTGGGGTCGTGTGACCTCCCAGGGGCACGGGGACCCCCACTCGTCTTAGCTCAGCCACAGCCCGAGCACCTGGGGACCTCGCAGCCCCGAGGGGACGGTGGCACCCCGTCGAGGGGGCGTGCGGGGACCTGGGAGAGGAGCCTTGGGGAACGGACAGGCACCCCGACTCTGGGGCCGGGCAGGGTGGGGAGGGCCTGCCGGGGGCTCGGGTACGAAGGTGGGAGGAGGGCCGAGCAGACCCCCGAGGGAGCTGGCAGTCAGGCCCGGCTCCGCTGTGGCCTCCGTGGCCTGGAGGCCTCTGCGAGTCACCGTGAGGTAGGTGCCAGGCTCGCCCAAGCGGGTGCTGACCCGCCACAGCCCTGAGAGGGTGTCAGCCCCAAGGCTGTGCCTGAGGCTGGGGACCTGCTGCTTGCTGGGGGCACGGAGCCGCCTCCCCAAGGGCCAGCCCCCTCCAATCAGCTCTGGCTCTGCCTCCGTGTCTACTGCCCAGGGTGACGACATCCCCTCCCCCTGTGCCCCCCCCCGGGCTGCTGTACCAGCCTGTCCAGAGGGGATGTCCCCAGCTCTGTCCCCTGCCTGCCCTCCAGCACACTGCCCCCTCACTCCAGCCTCACGTGGGCACCTGCGCCCCGGCACGGGCTGTCCCTCTGCCCGGAAAGCTCGTCTGCTATGGCGACACCCCAGTCCCCCCAACCCCCCGCCCTCCCCCCCTCCCCTGAGTGCCTCAGCTGCCCCTGCAGGAGAGCTAGCGTGGAGTCGCTGGGCTCAGGCTGCCAAGGTACCAAAGCCAGGTGAGCTGGGGCCCGAGGAGGCCGTCGTTCTGGTTCCGAGGGGCCCCGGGAGCTGCCGCCTCTGGTCTCCCCTGTGCTGCTGCAGGACCCGGGCGCACAGCCACTTGTCCTGCGTCAGCACCTGTGCACCCTTCACGCCTGCGGGGGGCCACCCGAGTGACCTCCGAAACTCGAGGCCCCCAGACGTGTGGCAGGCCCGCCCTGGGGCAGCGCTTCACAGTCTCAAAGCCCAGTCCCCCCTCGGACCCCCGGGGCGGCCTCCGCGTGCGTCAGGTGTGCAGGCGTTAAGACCCTGGACAGGGTCTTTGACATTGTTCCCTCCTGATCTTCTGGGGTGAACCTGACACCCTCCCGCCACGCCCCACGCCCCATGGGGCACGCTGTCTGTCGACTGCCCCTGCCCCCCGGGCGGGACTCCACTCCGAGAGCAGCTGCGTGCCCGGCCTGGCACGTGGGAGTGTCCGGGGAGGGCAGAGCGGTGGGGGGGGGTGTGTGTTTTGTTTGCAAACAGGTGTCCTGGGCCGATGCCTCGGGGGAGCTGTCGCAATCGACGGGGGTGGCTCCTCAGGCCCCGAGCCCATTGGGAGCCGTGGGGCCCTGCGGACGGCCGGGAGGGAGGTGGGCGCTGCAGCCCCCTCCCCGAGTCCTGCGGAGGAGGGCCGCCCGGCCGGGTGGCCCAGGTAGCTCCGGCGTGGACACCAAGGCCAGAGGCCGCACCCACCCTGGGAGCGGTGGGTCATAGCTCCACGAGGGGTGGCCAGCCCACCCCAGGGCCCGCCCCGCCAGGGCCCTGAGCCAGGAGGAGGCGGCTCCGGGAGGGGCGTGCGGTGCAGACGGGGGCCTGGTGCCCATTCCGCACCCCCTCCCTGCCAGGCAGGCCTCCCAGGTCCTGCCCCCCAAGGACGGGGGAGCCCAGCAAAGTGTAAAAAATTAACTTCGGGTATTCCACAACTGACAGGAGAAGTGTGAACGGCGGCTTTAGCCTCCAGGTCTGCACCCAGCCCCGCCCAGCGGTGCAGTGAGGGCAGGGTGCAGCCGCCCCGGGCGCTCGGGCCGCTGTGGCCCCTCTGCCGGCCGCCGGGCCCTGCTGGGTGTCCCCGAGACGCTGAGTTTACATGTCAGCACACGCAGGGCCAGGGGAGGAGGGGAGGGGGTATCTTTAATTGACATGTGGACTTAAAATCTTGCTCTGAACACAGCAGAACCGGGTCCAGAACCGCCCAGGGCTCCCCGGCCTCTCGCAGCCCGGACCCGGGACCCAGGGGGGTGGCAGTCTGCACTTCCTGTCCACACGTCACGGGGCTCGGTGCCTACAGGCTGTCTCTGCCCCGCCTGACGAGCCACAGCCCCTCCTCGCCCGTCCCGGGAGCGGCTGTGCTTCCTGCTTCAGCGATTGCGTGTCCGCCGTCCCTCACCGTGCACCGTGTGCGGGCCGACGACTTTGAGAGAGTCGGTGAGAGAGCACACAGGTGGCTGAGAGGTGGCCGTGGGGGCCGGCGGGGCCACAGCATTGTGTGGGGGGGGTGGGGGTGGTTCTGGGTCGAGAGCTGGCCGGGAGGAAGGTCAATGGGGTGGAGGATGGGGGTGGGGGTGCACGGTGGGCCAGGCCCAGGGAGCCACACGCAGTCTGGCGGGAGGAAGGCCCACTGGTGTGTATCCCGAGAGACCACCAGAACCTCAAGCTCACCGGGGGCCGGGACGGGTCACAGCCTGGAAAGGGAGGTGCTTTGCCCCACCCCAAGTGAACCTCTGTGCCAGGAGGGCAGGGGTCCCGGACGTGGGCATCGGGGCCTGGTCTGGCTCGGCAGGACTGGGTGGGCCAGAGGAGCTGTGTTTCTCACCGGCGGAAATCGGCGGGAGCCCGAGGAAGCCGGGTTGCCGAGCACGGGAAGGCTGCGAGGGGGTGGGTCTGGGGTCCCAGCTCCCCCCACTCCAAAAACCTGTGCTTGGGCCCCACCCTGGGTGGGGTAGGTGGGGGACCGTGTGCTGGCCCCAGGGGCCACGGGGACGGACGCCCAGCACAGCTGGGCTCTGGGGTGAGCAGCACAACACAACAGTGACCTCTCGTGGCCGGAGTCTGTGGGGACGCTCACAGGCAGGGACAGGTGGCTCGGGCGGAAATAATCACAGCTTGAAAATATCTGCAGCCTTGGCTGGTGTGTCTCAGTGGATTGAACACCAAAGAGTCGCTGGTTCGATTCCCAGGCAGGGCACGTGCCTGGGTTTCCGGCGGGGTCCCCAGTGGGGGCCACAAGAGAGGCAACGACACATTGATATTTCTCTCCCTCTCTTTCTCCTTCCCTTCCCCTCTCTCCAAAAATAAATAAATAAAGCCTTAAAAAAAGAAAGAAAATGTCTTCAATGACATTTGTGAGTCTCGAGGGTCATTCTCCATCTGGACGGAGGACGCGTGCCCCCCCCCCCGACCCCCGCCGACCTCACGCGCGCGCAGCCGACGCCCTGGTTTCCTCAACCGGGGCCCGGCCCTCGCCTCCACGCATCCAGTGTTGCCCGAGTTTTGAGGCTGATCCCAGACGCCGTGATGCGGCTCACCCACACCTCCCAGGGGGCGCACAGGTGGGCCGTCCCCCACAGCCTGAGTATTCGGCAACACTGAAACGCGTCCTCGGCACCGACCTACGGCCTCTCCGGAGACAGCTGGCTTTCCCAGTTGTCCGGGACAGGTCTCGGCAGAGGTGGTGTGTTACCTGGGCCTCCCCCGAGGCCCCAGCCTCACCTGCGGCTGAGCGAGTCGTTTACGGGTGACGGCGCTCCTCTCGCTCCCGTGGAAACACAGCTCAGAGCTCGTGGCGATCACACTCTGGCTCCGGAAGCCGGGGGGGGGGCCCGAGACTCTGCATTCACACACCTTACCCCCACCCCTGCGTGGGGAGCTCTGGGTCTGCAGGCCTGCGCCGGATGCCCGGGCTCCCCCGCCCGCTGCCAGCTGGCCGCCTCTCCCTGAGTCCCTCACTGCCCCCAGCCCCCGGGGGCCTCTGGGCAGAGGGGACAGGGACAACGGGAGCAGGGCAGGAGGTGCTCACTCGAGCAGGGTCATCCCCAGGCAGGAGATGCCCCCCTTCAGGACAGACCCGCCCCTGGGTTCAGCCCAGACCTGCACCCAGCCGTGCCGGGAGGCCTGGGGGGCGGCTCCCAGCCCTCGCTGGCCCCTCGTCTCTGCCCAGGGGGTCCTGGGAATGTCCGCACATCCTTCCTGTGCTGCCCCGCCCCCCAGACCTGGCGTGTGTGGCTCAGGGGCTGTGTGGGTCACGGGTTTCCTGCCGACCTGTCCCCTGCACGTGCCCCCGGGAAGCCGTCGCCAGCGGGACTGTCGAGTCCCCAGGC